AATGTGGAACTGCCTCGACAAGCTTATCAACAATGATCCACATGCAACATATGATGATATTATAACTGAGACTGTACAATAAAATGAATTATCTGGGATTGTCTAAAGATGAGAAAAGTTACATAACATTGACAGCCTTATCAACTCAATGATGAACAAAAGCAAGAATGAGTTAGAAAATTTGGCGATATTTCGTAATGGATAATAGTAATTTTGTACTATTATTATAGATGATGAGACATGGATTTATCATAGACAGGTTTGATGTAAATTGAATTATTGAAGACGAATCACTGACGACCTTTGTTCATTGAAATAGGTTTCAACAAAAACTTAATTTCCTATACTCTTTAAATCAAATTTTCCTGCTCCTTTACATAATCAAGATAAAGGCAAGACTATAGATCACAACTATACTATTGAAAATTGCCTTCAAGCTATTGTCAATGACATATGGAAACATAGACTGTCAACCAATCCAAAATATATAAAATTAATTTCACAATAACGCTCGACTTAATCATGTTCATTCAGATATTATTAATTACTAAACACAAGAAGGCATTAATATAACTTCACATCCATCGTCTCCATCAGACTTTGTATCCTGTAATTTTTGATTTTATGTTTATATCAAGCGTGATTTAATTGATTAAACAACTAAAAAATTATTGGCTCATACATTCTCTGAAAATAGTTAAAAATATTCCAGAAGAAGAGTTTAAATAAAACATTTTGTAAATTGTTATAAAGGATAGAATTTTTTGTAAAAATAATTATGACGAATAATTCAAATATTTAACCTTCAAAATTCTGTTTCCTTATTCCCGCTTTTCTGTCAAAATTAATTTCGATATAACTTCGTGAAAATCTGTGAATCTAAAAATTTTAGTTTTGAAAATAAATTCTAGTTCATATGCATCTTTGTAGTGATTTGCAATTTATTAATATCATCTTCTGTCTTTTCGTTGCAGTTCGGCTTAGCTTATTCGTCTAATTTGAAGCTTTTATTTTCTTTGATAATAAGTTTCTTGACTATTTTTTTCCTTGATCAGTTTTCGCTTTCTCGAACGGATAGAATTCATTCATTTGTGAATTATATATAAATTTTCTTTTTGTATTATGTTTAAATAACAACGTTTATTTGTTAAGAAAACAAAACAAAACAAAACAAAACATAAATTTATCCTTTTCTTTTTCTTTTATCACCACCTATTTTTTCTGCTCTTTTCTTCACATGTTTTGGTATTTTTGTTTTTCGTTTTTCTCGTTTTTGTTCTTTTACTGCTTGTTTTCTTAATCGTTTAGATGTTGGTGATTCATCTCGAGGTCTAATATTTCCTTGTTGTAATGTTTGTTGTTCTTGTTCTTCTTTTGCTGATGCATAATCACTTGTATCACTATCATCATCATCATCATCATCATCATTATCATCGGAACTTGACGAACTATTAGTACTACTTGAATTATTATTTTCATCTTCAAGAATTTTCGGTACTAAACGAGCTTCAGTCATTGTTTCATTCATACCTAATATAGTTGATACTTGACGAAAATCTTTTGATGATGTTCCACATAAATCATCTAATGTTTGTGGAATAAATATGCGCTCAAAAACTCGTTCATCAACTTCATCTGTTGTTTCATTTAATGGTTCAGTTTTCGCTTGCTCAATCATTTTATCAAGATAAGCTTGTTCATTTGAATCATTGATTGTTGGATCTGTTATATAATTAAATAATTGTTGCATTGTTAAAATTGTTTTCAATGTATATCGTTTAGCAAAATAATCTGTTACATTTCGACAATCCATTCGAAGAAATTCAAGTGCATTTGGATGGGCTTGTTCAACTGATTGAGAAACATCAATAACATATAATTGATTTTTTGAATCAAGTAATAAATTAAATTCAGATAAATCTGCATGAATTAATTTACATTTAACAAACATTATTCGCATGTAATGAATTAATTTAAGATAAAGTGAAAATGCCTCAGGTTCATCTAATAACGGAGAATCTTTCAATTTATTAGCTGGCCAACCATTTTCACCTAGAATACAATTATTTTAATAATATTATAATCAAATGTTAAAACTTGACATGCTCAAGAAAAAGGTTAAAATCATGGTGCATGTTGAGAGCATTTAGTGATTTAATAAGATCTGCATAGTGAACATCATGAATATAGAAAATTTGTTCAACAAATCCATGATGCAATCATTAAGATCGTTGTTTCATCTTCAAATTAGCTCAAGAAAACAATGTCCAAACTTCTAAGAAATATAAAGGAATAGTAGTACTTTTGACAATGTAATTGTCAAATAAGATTGTTTAAATAAATGTTGTACTACTTTTCTTATGAGAGAATCTTCTCAACTTAAAAATCGCTTTTAAGTTCGTACTTTGTGTATATGGTAGTTTTCGATGATGTATTATAAACTCCAACAGGATGAGAGCTTTCACGCTCTCTACAAAGTCATAGGCATTTTACTGAAATTTTAGCCTATAGCACGGTATGTACGAAAAAATCGAATGACGATATCTTGATCTGAAACCTTGTCCAGAAATAGACTTACTTGTATCTAGAATTTTTCCTTTATAAAATACTGAATTCCTAAAATCCATTTATGTTCTCTGGAAGATCCGAGAATATTATGGTTTTAAATAATTCAATATCTCATGAAAGAAAAATTCTTTTGATCTGAAATTGTCAGGACATTCTTGTTACATATTTATGAGTAAAGTTTCAAATCAAAACATTGTCATTTGATTCTTCTATACATGCCGTGTTATAGGCTAAAATTTCAGTAAAATGACTATGACTTTGTAGAGAAGGCCTAGGGACCCTAATATTTTTTGGAGTTTTTAATACTTCCTTGGAGTGTATCTTATGCGCAAAGTGCGGACTCAGAAGATATTTTTTTAGTTGGAAATGTTTCCTCGCCAGTTTCTTGTAAGATTATCACGCTAAAACTAAACAACATGAAATCTTATACAGAACTATATCTTATAATCAATTATCTACGCTATAAATTTCAACTTTTTATCACTTCAAATAATTTAAAAATCAAAACTTCGTGATTCAGTTATGTGTGAATGTCATGGCATCGAAACTGATATCACAATACGACATAATGATAGCATAGGGATTCTAGCTTGTTTTCTGCTATATTCTATATACAACTAAATGATTTCATGGTCTTCTCTGAGTCTCGCTAAAGAATAGCAAATTTTAATTTAACGAATTCATAAACATATGGAAAACAAAAAAAGCATTGGCAGATATTAATTTTAAGTAATGTTCATTCTTCGTGTAACGGCAACTCCTTCAATTCGTGATCAAAAGCTTTTGGTGATCATTATATAGTTCGAAATAGTATCCATCTGCTGAGTATATTCTGAGGTCCAAAAAGTGTCTTAAATGTTAAAAAACCAAATTTACGTAACGGAAATGACGAAAATTGTACATTGTTTCGCGTTTTTCTTGAACCAGCTTTTTCATTAAAAAAAGCGCAAAAAAACTCTCAGTTTCTCCGGCCTAATATATCTGATCGAGCTGAAACGTTTTCCCCAAAAAACATTATACACTGCCCAAAGTCGTTGTTTTCTTTAAAACATATTGTTCTGCTGATTTTTGGTAACTCTTCAAAAAAATATGCATTGTTTGGAGTATCTTCGATAGTTCGGCTTTTTTATTCAAACAACCAAAAATGAAAAGATACCATCCAAAACAATCACTAGTATCTGTAAAAAAAAATTGCAACTCGATTGAATCATCTCGAAGAAAAGAGGAGTAGAGTCCGTCGGATCGAAAATTTTGGGACTCGATTAAGAGAAAAATTTCAGATCCGAACTCGATCGAGTCTGTAACAGCATCTGAGAACTATGAGTCTATGAAAACTTTTGATCTATTCGTCAAGATCTACCTGTCCTGAAAATTTCAAATTTTTCTCATGAGACGTTCTCCAGAAATCTTGAAAAGTGGTAGGAGTTACCCTTAAATTGAACTATTCTTTATAATAAATCTTACCAATAAATTCCATAACAAGAACATGATTTTTAAGTGCAATAGGTTTTGGACATGGAATTCCATTGGTATATAGACGTGATAAATTTCGATATTCTTTTTCTGCCCATAATCGAACCATTTTTCTCGGATTATGTCTTGAATAACCATGTCGAAAACGATATTCACCAGTAACATATCTATCTCGATCTTTAAAAACAAGTATTGATGTTTTAAAAACTTTTATAGCTCGATGTTCATTATTATTTGTTTTTGCATAATAAACATTTGCTTCTTTTCCTGTTGATATGCAACCATTAATTTCTTCAACTAAACCTTGTTGAAGAAATTTAAATAAAATTAAACGTGTACGTGGGTCAAGAACTTGTTCAACAGTTGCACGATCATGTTTATCTTTTGAACGATATTTTCCATCATCGATATGACCCGTACGAGGTGAATATGGACTTACATCAATTTTGTCAACATATCTTAAAGAATTTAATTGATTTGTAATTTTTTTTTATATAAAAAAATCAAATCTCTTTCAACATACTTTGATAGGATTTTATTTGTTGGTTGAAAATGTTTCATTGATTGTTGAACGGTTCCATTATTAGTTTCACCTTCTTGTTTCATAGTTTCATAATTAATCTCATCATAATAATCGTCACTGTCACTATCCATTTGTTGTTCTATTATTATTTCTTCAGACATGTCTATATATGAAACAGAAAAAGGAAAAAATAAATTCTTTCGCAATTACGTTTATTTATGAAGAATTTCGTAAAACTGATGAAATATTTTATTAATAACCTTTATGAGAGAAGAAAAGCTAACAAACAAGTTTTATTCGTGCTCTATTTATTATATATACATAGCAGAAGAAAAAAAAATAACAACGGGTTTGGACGTTAATATTATATGTATAAAATTTAGTTTGCAAGCAACACTGTTCATGTATAAAAATAAGATTCATATGATTATTTTTATCAGTTTGTTGAAGATGCGGACATTTTTAATTTTGGTTTAGCTGTTAAACCATCAAAACGTTTATAAGTATAATTAATAAATAGCCAATCATGAACTTGAACTTCACTATCTTTTGTTGGTGATGCTAAAATAGAAAAAAATAAAATTTCAAAACAAGTTTGAAATTAATCGAAATTGAATGATGCTTTTTAAGATTAATGCATAGAAAATCATGGAAATCGTGTTTACAAAAATTTTTATGAAGATCCATTCGAATTGCATGGATAGTGAATCCTCGGTGAGGAATTTACGCTTGCATATATTTTTGTTTTGCATTATTTAGACATATTCATATCAAAAGACTAGTTACCATTTGTTCATCGAATTTACCAATAACTGTCACTATCATGTAGCTAATTACGTCCCGCATATAATTTTATTCCCAAGGGCCTTATGTTGTAGAAATGTTTTGTTAGAATTTTGTAAAATCTTCTTTTTCATAATCCAATACTCCAACATTCTGGACGCAGAGCTAACTCTCGCCGTTAAAAGAACGAATAATTTAGCTATAAAAACAAAGTCAAGAACGGAAACCTATATTTCAAGTATTTATCATCAAATCGTCAATCAAATGAGGAAAACTTCAAGAAACTTTGTAAAAAAGACTCGATTGAGAAAACCTAAATAGTAACTTGATCTTATTCAAATTATATATTTAAAATTCTCGTATAAAAATAATTTGGAAACAATATTTAAATAAATGAATTTAACATACGTAATTTAAGATCAACATCAGGAAAGTCATCAAAATTAGAAGTATCATCAATTGATTTGACACGTGGTTGATAAGCAGCTGGTCTATCTCGTATATGTTCCCAATCAACACCAAAAAAAAATCTATGATTTCGAATTTCATCCAATGAACCCAAACGTCGATCAGTATCAGTACAAAATCTAATTCAATTAATAAATTTTATTTCTCTAAAAAAAAATAATATATCATACTTAAGAATAAGATCTTTAGCAAGATTTGATATTGGTATTTCAGGTGGAAAAACAAGTGTTTCACGATAATTCATTACTTTACGAAATGTTTCTTGAGGATTATCAGCACAAAATGGTGGATAGCCAATTAACATTTCATACATAATTACACCTAATGACCACCAATCTACTTTCTAAATACAAAAAATAAAAATAAAACATTTTTCCATTAACAGAAAATAAATAACTAACATTATTATAACCACATTGTTTAAAAACTTCTGGTGCAATATAATCTGGTGTACCAACAGTTGAATAAGCCTTAATTAGAAAACAAAACAACAATTACGAAAGGATAAAAGAAATCAAAAAGTTCAACTAATGCACGACGATTTTTCTTCCATGTCTCAGCTCGTCGTTTTGAATCAACAGGATTAGCTGCTACAAAAATTCAAAAGAATTTAATTAAATGCTTAAAAATATATCATTACTGAAATCTTGTGGTCGCATGCTTTGAATATCACGATAGAATTCAGTTCGATGTGCTTTTTTTAAACCTGTACATAAACCAAAGTCTGAAAGTTTTACATGGCCCTAAAATAAAAATTAAAAAAATGTTATAAGAATTTATAAAACTATCGTCATTATTTCGCTTGTTTTTCTTTTTTACTAGAAATTCGTTTTAAGGTATCGAAATTTGGAAAATTGAGCGAAACTGCTTGTGGGTGCTTTTTTGTCATAGTTGGATAGACCGCGTCGATTTATCTATTAAAACATTGTTTTTGACTATTCAGAAGATATTTTTGTACTTAGACTTACGAAGAAACTACCACAAGTGACACTCGTCGTTTGAGCTCATATTGAACCCACTGGTAAGGCTTAGTAAGAATGGTAGAAGTTTAATAAGGCCGTTCCCATCGATCTTAGGCGCTCAGACCTACCTGTGAATTCAATATGAGCTTCAACGACGGATATCATTTGGAGAAGTTTCTTTGTTAGGAAAATTAAGTTGAAAAACAATCAATAAAGCTTATAAAAGATGAAATTCTCCAACGGCACCATGTCTAAGTAGTCTCAATATTTATCGAAATATTTCTTTGGATTGTACTCGTCGCACAGTTAGGAAAAAACTGCTACATACTTTTTGAAAAATATTATTTGATTATTCATGAAATCGAGTTTTTCAATATGATAACAAAAAATACCATAAATATCGATTTATATTCAGAATCAGTGCAAAAAGTTACATCGAATAGTATACTGAATATTTAAAACGAGTTTTCGTTGAATTTTGACCCTTCCAGTCCTTCCAGTTGTCTTCGAATACGCTGACCCGTGCTTCTCCGTAGATCGAAAATAAGCTTTGAGTATTATATATACTATTCGATGTAGATTTTTGCGGTGATTCTGAATATGATATTTGTTTCTTTCGAATACCAAATTCTCATTATCAACATCATTGAATACAAAAATATATTTATGGCTTTTTTACTATCGTATCGANACGAATACTGCTGTCGCACTTTGTTTCACTCTTTGTGCTGTCGGCTTGATAATAAACACTGGTGGTTCTACAAGGACATATGTATTCAAAGAAAATAAAAATCAAGATGACGTACTTGAAACAGTGACTTTGCACTTTTTGGATTTGAGCGATTCACCAATATTAGAGATCTCAGCTGAATATTCTCCTTGATCTTCTGATTGTATATTCAAGATGGTCAACGTGTATGTCTCATCACCATCAGTCGGAGTTATCATTTGAATATGATCATTGGATTTGAGCTTATTGCTGTCTCTCATCCAGACAACGTCAGGTTTCGGTATTCCACTGACGCTGATTTTGAGTGTCATGGCTTCACCTTTTGTGGCTTGCAGTGCAGCATTGAGATCAGCGTTGATGACAGGTTTGATGCAAGCAATGCTTAATATTGTTTGAGCTTCAACTTTACCAAAAGCATTGGTTGCTCGAGCAATATAATCACCTTGATCGGCAAATTCAGCTTGACGAATCGATAGTGTCGATGTTCCATCATCAGTCTCAGTCACTTGAAAGCGATCGTTGGTTGGAAGTGGTTGACCATTGAAGAGCCATGTCACTCGTGGTTTCTCGATGCCACTGAACTTCCATGAAATCTGAGTATCTTGACCGATGACACATGATTGCTCGGTTACTGCTATGGCAGCTTCCACTTCGGGTTGAACTAAAAAATAAGCAATCGTTCGTATAGTACATAGCAGATGGTAAGACTACTCGGGGCGTGGGTGAATAGAAGACCCACACCTACACGCGATCACCCACACTTCACACTTGTTTCTATGTGTTTAGCTTAATCAATTAAGTTGAAGGTTTTAGTTTGAAAAGAATTTCGTTCTCTGGGTACGAATTTAACAAACAGATTTCGTTCAATTATTTTCCGTAGAGTTGAGTAAATTCACTTTTTCAAATCTAGTACGTTTCTCGCTATCTTAATGATGATAAGATTCACACCTTCCGTTTGATGAATATGTATATACGTAATTCCTAGCCAAGGGACATTTCTCTCAGATTTGAGATGTCATTGGAACGCGTATCGTGAATCTATATACCAGATACTATTCATTATCAACTATTTGATTTTTGAATCACGCAACCAGTATGAAAAATAATCAACTGTGATACCCATAAACAGATTTTCACTTCACCTACACTCAAGGTGTATGCTCTCGTTAATCAACAACGGACAGGATATGCTAACTCAAATCATGTTTTTCTATTCAATATTGAATACTTAATCAGAATCAACTACTTTCACATTATTCAAAATATAACAATAGGTGAAAAAGAATAAATGTCGCCAAAACATCCATTAATTTTTCGTCACATATCGAATCTTATCCAAAATTTATAAAAGGACGTGTGAAGAGGAAACCTATTGATAACAGCCAAAACTTCAGCTTTTCTCCCTTAGTATGGCCTGATTAATCAATGGTTGTTGATTTCTCACATAGCCATATCTTGACATCAGAAAATATATTTTAGTAGAAAATAAAAGCAAATCTAATTTAACGACAACGGAACTACATCGTTCACAGTTTACTTGTTAAGAAATACAAGTTGTTCTATCTTAAGTAAGTTGCCATAAAGATCTAACTGATTTGAACTTTTCAACAGAGAAAGTATTTCTTTCAAAAATACTGACAACTAATAAAGTTTGATCAGCGAGTATCCCGATTGAAAAATTTGAATGTCTATGGATGATTGGACAATTAATGCATCAAACTGCGGGCAGAATCTTTCATCCACAAAATCTTTGACGAAGTCGTCGAAGAAATTGCCACTTTTTGAAAAATAAATGCTTACTTTTGTATTAAGATTCGATACAAAAAATTTTCGGTTACTCATCAAAATAATTTTTTGACAGTACTCGTCTTTTACAGTGTAAGTCAAAGATTCAAAAATCTAAAGAGGCATCGTCAGGGGATATATTATTGCGTCCATATTACTGCATAGGAAATATAGTTTTATTCATTGCAACCATCATATTTGTGATCAACATGCGTCAAATGACATATTTATATGCGTTGATACGTGAGAAAAAATAAAGTTATCCTCGAGCCTCTGGGTACATCTAGTCCAAAAAATCATGATGTTACATATACTTAATTGAAATTGCGCAATATAAAAATGATTTAGATATGAAAACTGAATTGTCAACTTTCTTTGAAGGAACGCTTGCTACAGTGATAATATTTGCGTTTAAAAGTGATAAATAACCAAAGTATTCAATCAAATCAAGTTTACCTGGCTTTCCAGATGTATCGCCAGATACAGGAATATTTTCTATTAATGTTTCAAAAAATATCGGTATTATTCTCTTTCGAACTGCTTGTAAACCTTGTAACCAACCATATTCAACAACATTATCTAGCGCTAATTCATATAAATTGTCTTTGTCTTTGACTTGACTTTTTTCTAATAATTTAAATAATTTTGGACGATAATATTCACGTAACGCTTGAAATAAGACCGATCGCTTTTTATTATCAGAAAAATTTGCTATAGATTTTAAACCATTATTAGTTATTGTACACCATAGATCATTGAATACATTTGTTTCATCCATACATGTATCATCAATACCTTCAAATAGAAGTTGCAAAACAATTGATAAGATTGGACAATCTTTCAAGTATTTATTGCCATATTCAGCTGTACGTTTCAGAACAGAATCATAATTCACACCATCTTTATATTCTTTTAAAAATAAGATAAACCATTGATTTGAAGAACCATATTTTACTTCCCATTGTTGTTCAAAGTATTTTTTCAGGGATTTTATCAGGTTTCCATGGATTTCATTTATTGATGCTTCATAGATGTCTGGTAGAATGTATTTCTCATACTTAGACAACGATTGTCGACCATTTTCTAACAAATCATTTATAATTGTATCTTTTATTTTATATTCTTCCAAGTCAAGAGTGCGTATTATTTCCTTCTTGACTAATTCTAATACTTCATCATTGACGACATTATCAAGCTGTCCTGTTGAAGAAAATTTGATTATAGATAAATTAAAAGAAAATGTGAGTATTGGATGCGTTTGGGAGCAAAAAAGACACATACTCACAATCATACTCAAAAAATTAAACGATTCAAAATATTCCATGATCGAAAGAAATGCATACCAGTGTGTAATAGAATCCATCGATAGAAAAGTTGTTCGCACTTATAGAGTAATGGTTCTTTCTGTCTCAAGTTGCACACAGTAAGACGAAATAGAACGAAATCCTGCATATATTTCTGCCATTCATGGCACTTTTCCGTGCATTTCAATTCAAATAGTTATGTATTCGTTACGGTAAAAGAAATGGTGAAATTCTTGTCTGGTCTCAAGTTATTTTTGACGCCTAATTATGAGGGTAGAAACTGTTGAAGGATTTCTTCTTTGATCATACCTAATTTCTTTGCGCTCAAATGGACACAAATAACGCCTGTTTTTTCAAAAGAAAGTATTTTTGTGACTTTATGAGCTGGAAGCTATCAGTGTTGTGAATGTGAATGGAACTGTTTTCTGTGCTTGGAGAATACTGTTCGTCTCTAAGCGTGTACGGAAGAATTCAAGATAGACATTGTCTATCAGCGAGCGACTGAGAAGTACGAGAAATAAATAAAAACCAGAAGATGTTTAATTTTGTGAAACTGCTTCTCATCCACAAAGCATGGCATCTATCTTCTTCAGCTGATGATGTGGGGTGGATGCGAGTGTCTGCGTGCGTTTCGATCTATTCGTCACTCACATCCACCCCTGCAACTATGTTGATACCAATGAGGATACCCACACACGCACTCATATCGTCATTGTCTGATTAACCATTCTGAGGGTACTAAAATAGTCAACCTCTAGCTTGGAGAACAATCCAGCTGACATTTTAGATTTCCTTTAAAAGTCGAAGTTGAAGGCGATAGACGTGGTTATGGATGTTAATGTCGATTTAACTAGTGATAATCAAACCAATCACATCTACTCTTGCGAAAAAAAAAGAAACCGACTGTACACGCTTATTGTTGAATTACCTGCGTTAACAGCTGTAGTTATACTACTCGTTGGCAGTGGTCCCTCCATCGTTTTTTGAATGTTATGATCAATCATGATTCGAGCAATAAGCTCATCAAGCTTAACAACAACAGCTTTTACCTATGGACATAAAATCATAAAATACAATTGAAATCATTCGATTAAATTTTACCTTGGCAAATCTGTTAGCCCATTGTTCATTAATTTCTTTATTCATACAATACACATATATTGACGTAACTTGTTGAAGGTTCTGAACAGAAGGTACTATTTCTTTTCCCAATTGGCCACTGACAATCATCACCAGTCGATCTTTTTCTGATCGTTCTTCAATATATTTCTGACATTGTGCTCTATCTTGAAACTTCTTGAAATGATTAATAATAGAGGCGAACTTTTGTTCTGTATCTCGAATTCTCCCATCGTTCACATTAGCATCGAGCCAAATTATGCAGGAGATCACTATAAAAAATCCGTAAAATAACACACGAAAAAAAGCGTCTTTAATAACGCAATAAATGGAAAAGGGTTTAACAGTTTGCAGCGAGATATTAACTTTTCCCTGTAATTGACGAAGATGATAGATGATTTTTCTGTTTAGGATTTGGAAAAGAATGGTTTATTAGATATTTCAAAAACGAAAAAAAGGTTTGTGTTCCGTTGTAAGTTCACAATGCTTGTTTTTTTACAGTGACATAAAGACGGGTATCATCGACATTTTTATGTAATTCAGATGGAGATGAATGCATAGAATAGAAAGTTTGAATGCTGACTATTCGATTTCGTCATCGAATATATGAGTACTTAATCAGAATCAATTACTTTCACATTGTTTAGAACATAGCAATAGGGGAAATGGAATAAATGTCGCCAACAAATCCATTAATTTTTCGTCACATAACTAATCTTGTCCAAAATTTAACTTCTTAAAATAGTACATCACTAAATAAGCAATAGATTTCACTCCTTTTTATGCATTTCCATGGAGTTGTCGTCCTATCGANCTTAAAACGGTTGATAGTTAATTGAAAATGTAACAGTATTAAGATAGGAAAATACTAAATCCACAACAACTTTATTAGAAGATACGTATCATACCGGAGTATTCTCGGTAATAGTTTCAGTCATGTCACAAAAGAAATACTTTCGAAATAAAACAATGGTCAAAAATCAAGAATAACTTGTATAAATAAGATTAAGTTCGTTGTGCAAAGCCACCTATATTTGTAGTAGTTATATTCTTTCTGTTGGTTGTTCTCGTAGCATTTGCCAGGTCAATATCTATTCTGGTTGTTATGTATGTCAGACGGAGAGATACTATTCTAAATAATGCATCGACAACATTTTGATTATAAGAGCAAAAATCTTCACCTATTATTTCCTCACACTGTTTCACATCGTATTAACAGGCGGAGTCTCCTATCATCTAGTTCAATACTACTTATTTTACTAAAGAAATATATTAAGTTTTTATTTAGATTTCTGACAATAAAAATGTTTAAGAGGCAATATTTCATTTAAATAAACAAATTTTGCTTGTTGTATTTGGAAAAGACTAGAAGAGAAAATAATGTGTTTCTCTGCATTAAAAGATCATATGCGAATACGATGACAAAAGACGTCGTATACGTCCGTTGACAACTGTCGCAATACTCGTCTTAACACAAAAGATAAATATAGCTGTAACCGATCGACCTAAGCAACAAAAAGCAAATATCAAAATGTATAAGTGTTTCTTATGTCTCAAATGGAAACAAGTTTAAATTAATGACAGCTATTACACGCATCCATAAAAAAAACTCAAGAATATTCCTTTTGAAAATATTGTCAATTACATATGATCCAAAGATTCTTTTCAATATGCCACTTCAAATCGAGCAGATACTATCATTAGATGAAGATGAGAAAATTGATCAATCATTATCTGATCATGGTAAGAATGTAGTCCACATTAAGAAATATCTTCTTCTACTTCTATTTCATTAAGTTAACTATCATCCATAATGTATGTCTAGGTACATATAGGTAAAACTAAACACTTACTATGACTATAAATATTTTTCTTATATGAAACTCTCCAAAATTTTGCAGCTTAACTTATTTCGAAAAGCTTGTTTAAATAATTAACTAAATTATCTTCGATATACATTCTTTACTTGAGTCTTTCTTTGTTCTTTTTTCTTCTTGTGCATCTTCTATAATGCACTACTGTCAATATGTATACTAGGATATACAAAAAGTATTAGTAGTGAAACAACAACGAAATACAGAAATAAGTAGTTGATATTCCGCCTTCACTATCTTTCCGGGTTTCACAGAACTATTGATATCATCTTTCAACTATCCTAAAAGAAAAAGCTTCATCAATAGAAACAGAACACAATTCATCATGAATCATAATTGCTTAAATACTAAGTACAATGCATACTTTGATTTAGAAGCAAAAACTTATTGTATTCATCTAATCAAATATAAACACTGTCAAAGTTCAAGCAAACTCTATTTCTTTTAACTTTCTTGAAAATTCACTGATAAATTATGCAAATAGGTCTTGTTGATATATTATTATTATGAAAATAATTAGTGAAAAAATCATCGCATATCAGAGAAACTAGAACATTATTTTTACTATCACTATCATGTTATTTGTTTGCTTTTTGTTAATGAAATCAGTATTTATTTCTTTTTCTTGATGGAGATTGTGGGTGTGGTAAGGGGGGAAAAAGCAAATTTCAAGATTCCCAATCATTTTAGGTGCCAAAATCTGCTTTTTTCCCCTTGGTGTTGCTACTACCGTAAGTATGTAATATTCAAAAAACTTATTTACTACGGTCAAATCAGCAAACATTGAATTTTCTGGGTAAGTTTAATTTTGTTTTCATTGTTATACGGTGCGTTTGTTTTTTTCAAATGATTAGCTTCTTACTTTCGAAAAATGATAACACTATCTATTTCGTTTCTGTCTGCTTCGCCTTGTTTTTCGAATTCTTTTTAGATAAGTACTCTTTTAATAAGAACCATACAGCAACAGTCACTCATTCGCCGAAAAATAAAAGGACGACCGTGTGGATGTGAGAAATGATCAGTAGATTTACATCTACATCCTCAAGACATCGAAAATAACCAATGAATACAAATACCAAATGATTTATTTTTGTTTTCTCATGTATTTCAACAGATTCATCGTAGTGGTGCGTAACATTTGAACAGTGTCAGTATTTAGTTAGTTCTTCGACTAGATAAAGAATTGAAAAAATATACTTTCCAGTATTGAAAATATAAATTATTGTAATGATATTGACAAAAGTATTATCAAAGACTCACAGAAAAAGTTGTCAGCTTCTTGCATGAGTTTACAGAAATTTGAATGCATCGAGAGATAGAATATGACTTTTGTGTTGTTTGAGAAAATAGATTCAAACGTTTGATAGGACTTCTAGGTCAAAAGTTATGAAATATTCTTTTAAAAACTCTTGAATTAACTTTGAACCATTTTCAACACATCAAAATTCACCTAAACTTAGAAGCAATATTTATTGCAAATAATAAAATGAGAAAATCTTCTTGATTTCTAGAAACGATAAGTTGACAAAATGAACTTGACCATTTCTGAATGTTTTTCTATGAAATTCGTGACTCTTTTATTATATTTTGAAAAAGCAATCTCGCACTCTAATCCTATGTAAGAAGAATCAATAGTATAGGATTGCATAATAATTTATGTAGAGAATTTGTTTTTTTTTAAAATGAAGTTTTTTAAACTCTTAGAATGTAGAAAAATACATTTATATATTTGAAGTAGAATAAACAGTTCGCTACAAAATGAAATATTTTTCAACCTTCTAGGACATTTTTCAACCGCAATACTTCAGTCTTATAGAATACCCTAAAATTATGTTTCTATCCGAATAACAGAAAAAATGAATGTCGTATCTTCTGTACAGTTGGTACGTTTTGATTAACAAACGTTACTTAGTGAATTTTAGGAGCCTAAATATGTGTTTTTTGTCTTATTTTGAGAAAGTCTCTGTTAGAAGAAATAACAATCAGACTCATCTTCGAAAAATACTGTTAGTAATGCAATTATGCATACGAATCACTTTTGAATTCTTACTAATAATTAAGATAATGAAAGATAAAAAATTAATTCGAAGATGAATAATTCTAGGTGTTACTGTTTTTACTAAAGAAGCTTGCTGTTCTAGAAAAGAGTTAATTTTTCTTTATTCAAACTTAATTATCAGGCCTTTAAATGATTGACTTATAAGTCTTAAATCAGAAATTCAACAAAAGTTTGAAATTATATTTCGAAATAACACATAATTCGCATTCTGACTCTTCTTGGTATCAAGACTCTGAATAAGTCTCCAACAGTTATTTGTCTCTAAATTACTCATAGCTGTAAAGAAAGTATCAGACTATTAGAACTGTTACAAGACAAATTGCATGCTGCAATTAAGCAGAAAAGTAGCTGTATTCTTCTATTTTCTTGTATTCACGTCTTAGTTATCACGTTTCTTCTGGTTATATCATTATTACTAAAATAGATAATATCATTGCATAAATATGCCGTAAAAGACATTGTCCTAAATGCGCGAAGCTCATATAGATACACTTGAGTACAGACCAATGTTTGTTTCATATAAACAAAGTTTTATTGAGGACCAAATATTTCCAAGACATGTTCTACTCTATACTTTTTTCTTCAATTTCAACAATCAATAAATAACAAGTTCTTTTTAATATATCTTTATAACAACTATTTCAACTGTTTCATAATTTTTACTTAGCTATATGAAATGAGAAAGCAAACCAAAGTGAATGTTATGAATGAATTTCAATGACGGATGTTATTGTATCGACAATTGTCTTTTTTTCTTTATCTTTACTTCGATGACGTTTTTTGCTTTTTGTGTTTTTTATGTTTCTTTTCATTTTTAGAATTTTCTTCTTGAACTTTTTCAAGTGTTTCTTCAACTACTGTTTCAATTTTTTTATGAAAGTATTGTTCTTTTTTCGATGATGAATTTTATACGATCATCAATTTTGCGTGAACAACATTTTTGCTCGACAACGATCTCGACTAAATAAGTCAAATTTATTCATAAGAAATATCTTTAAAAAGTTTATGGCTCTTTTTTTTTGTTACCTGGAATGTGAAGATTGTTGAATAGTAGGTGGTGGACGAGGTGAACGACGTCGTTCATGATCTCGAGTTGGTCGAGGTGGTGATCTACTTAAATATAAAAATTTTTAAAGAAATGTTTTTCTTATTAGAAAGGAGACGTAAGTTTTACCTTCGATAGGATGATGATCATCGTTGACGACGGCTATCACGAACTAGAGATTTTACTCGATGACGACTACGACTACGAGAATCACTGTAAATAGAAAAAAGTTTCTTCAATATTTTCATTAATAATAAAAGAAAAATTCTTTTTCCCTGCTGGAATAAGAAGAGTAAGATGAAGAGCGCGAACGAGGGTGTGGGTGTGGGTGTGGGTGTGGGTTTTAAAAATAAGAAATAAATTCACACCCATACCCACACCCATCCACACCCACACTCACACCCACACACGATCTTTCATTTTAGTCATCCTTTTAGCAACCACTTTCCCACACTCTTCATTATTTATCCCAGCCAATAAATAGAAGCATTTTTTCTGTATGTTGTCGACAATTTTTTCCAAAGTAATTGAATATGGAGGGTATGCTATATCGAGTCGCATACCCAAATGTTTTGTATAATCCTTTTCAACATACAGATTATTTACATCAAAATCGATACGATCGTATTTGTTTATACCAATATGTGGTGTGATCAAATCAATCATAAAGGGACCCGTTAGTGCGTTTTGATCCACGAATAATACATATCGCCATTGATCGCGATGCACGTTTACTACCATTTGTAATTTACCTAATTAACGGATCATTTCATCTATATCATACAAGCCATGTGCTGGCAGATAACAATCTAGATCAGCAGACACTACTTCTGGTTGTAAGTGGGGTGTCGATTCGTCATATAAAACCCATTGATCAATAGTTTTTATCCTTTGGACGCGCTATATAATGACCAACTATCCAATATCGTACAAATCCCCTATAGATTTTACAATCGAATTTGCAAACCATGATCCAAGCAGCGGCCATTATTCTTGCTTCACGACTACCCTTCTGCACTTGTGTTTGATTAAACGATATATTCTTACTATCCGTAACTTGAGCAATACGTTTTTCTATTTCATTGTAAATGTTCTTGGAAGAAGTTGATGCAGCAACTCCAGTAGCGGTTTTTATTCCTGTTGCTAACGCGGGGACTTGCATTCTTGGTGGAGTAGCTGGAATTGTGAAAAGATTATCAAGTATTGAGATTGTTAGTTGTCAACATAGATAATATGCTTCTCAAAGCTTCTAAAACACTTGATATGTAAGATTTCGGGTAAAGGACTATGTTGCAGGCTGGTCTCAAAATATCAATTATGACTTCTTACAATTGAAACTGTTTAAATAGATTAACAAAAAAGTATTGTTTGAACACAGAATGAAATAGGTGTTTTTAAGCATTCTACTACGACCAAACATCTACATATCTGATACAGAAATTTGCGTTCAGATGATTATGTGTGGTAGTTACTTAACATGTAAATAACTTGTCAGAATTCCTGCATAGTCTTTCACTGACTATGCGTCAAAAGTAATGCCACCAAAAGCTACATTAGATCTTCAAAGCGACAGATTTCTACAACTCAACCATTTTCGTTGATGCAGGATTGCTCGATAAAATGATGTTTTTGTCAGAGTTTTCCTCTGTAAGGCTAATCAAAAGTTATGCATTGATATTCACAGTTATGTTGTAATGCAGCACTAAAAGTAAGTAGTCTGTGGAAAAAACATAGCCACTTGAATGCCTTTAATGGCGGAATCCACAAGCAGCAAGAATTCATCATCATAAAACGAGTTATTTTGTTTCACTGAAATCTATTTCGGTTAAAACTCTTGTACTTGAATATAGTAGAATGCTTAAAAACACCTATTTCATTCTGTGTTCAAACAATACTTTTTTGTTAATCTATTTAAACAGTTTNTATTAGTTGTGCAGTGACCAATAGAAATGAAGTTCTAGGAAAAACGACTTTCTTAGAGTAAATCAAGGTGCAGAGTTCAAACTTGAGCTGTATTCGGTCCCATATCCTATTAAGTTTGGCAACGCGCAATATAAATCAAGATTTTAAATAGTAGATTTCACAGTATAGTTTTGATATTCAGACAGTCTAGGATGATTGATTTGTATGATTCACTTTTTGAAGTACACATAACTCTCGGATTTAAATCCGAAGTTTCCGCATTTATTTTTCTTATTAATCGAATCAATAACAGATTGAAATTTATTTTAAATTATAACAATATTATATCTTGTTTCTCAACAAATACAAAATATTTGATTTTCGAGAAACTTCTTGACGAAAATTGATCTTTATCAAACTACAAAGCATCACAATATGTACATAATTTGAAAAAATATATAAATATATTTCCATATATTTTAATAAATACATAAGTTAGTGAAATGAACAATATTTATTATGTTTAAAATTTTTTAAGGAATTTAGTTTCATTTTAAAAATCTACAGAGGTCTATAAGCCATTGTTTTTGATATTTGAAACAGCCAAGAAATTCGGTTAATGCACTCATTCATTTCGCCATATCCACATGGGCTTATCGCACGCTTTGCAATGATAATAGACATGATCGAATTCTTACACTATCTCATCATCGAATCTTTTGAAAGCAGTAATATGTTGATAAATATATTTTGGAGTAATTTTAGAAACATTTGTTGTATTCTTTTCTAACAATTACTGAGCTACGACTATTTGATTTTAATCTACAAATGTTTTTTAATTATCAATAACGGCGAGCAAAGGAATTTCTCGGAGTGTTGAAAAAGGTTCATTGTTATTATTTGAAGGTGAAGTGACCGTTTCAGTTTGTGTTTTTCCATTATATTAAGAGGTTTTCCATCTTGTAAATTGTCTCAGTAAACCTATTCGTTCGAATCAACATATTATTTTCTGCACAAAAACAAGAAAAAAAAATCAAATCATGAGAGGGTAATTAGTGTCTTCAAACAAGTGTAAGCTTTTAATACTATTTTCTATTCAAGGTTTTCAAAAATATTATCATTAACGTAAGTGAAGTTGCCACCCGATTCGAGTATTTCCACCACCGATTCGTCCAAGGATCTGTTCCAAGTACAACTCAACGAGCTGTATCGAACGGTATGCCCAGATTTCTGGTAGCTCAAAATAAATTTTCTCAGATTTTGGTGTGAGCTAGGGAGCTCTGAAAATTTTATTTTCAGCTACCGAAAATCTGAGCATACCATTCGATAAGGCTCGTTGAGTTGTACTTGGAACAGATTCCTAGGCGAATCAGTGGTGGAAATACCCGAATCGGGTGGCAACTTCACTTACTTTTGTCATGAACAACAATCCAAATAGAAACATGATTTTTTTGAATGACATTGCCTTTAAATAATCTCTTTTTCCTCTTTTTTTTTCTTTAAATATTAGAGACCTCAATATAATTATTTGACTACAAGATTTTTTCCTACTAACGAAACTTTTTGGTTTTTTCAAAAAGGTTGAAATTCAATATATTAGTATGCATGATGATAGTACACAATGACACAATTATTCTGATAATACGAGTGTACTTTATGATCTGACTATGCAATACGGTCTTATAAAGTAGTTGCATCCTGCTCTATCCTGTGGTGACCTAAGGTACAACCAGAGTACAGTAAGACTGAGCTAGTATACGACTATTCGCGTCACCATCTCAATATTGAATTTCAAGAAATTTACCGAAATTTCATCATCGGATCCGTTGCTGAATTCGTTTCCCCGATTCTCATTAAATTTTGTCGGCTGATAGAATGTCACATATTTCGATAGAATTCATTCAGTTAGATCAAACATATGAACGAAATTCCTCTGGAAAAAAAGATTATCTAACAAAAATAAATATGAAAACATTTTTCTTACAATAAATTTATTTATTTCTCATGTGAGAATATGTTTTATGAATTCTAATTGATATAGGAAAAAATACTGTTGTTAGTAAATATTAAATTATTCATGTTTCTGTTAGTGTTTAAATTGTAGATAGAAATAAAAACAAAACAATATAACTATTCTTTGGTCAAGTATAGTATAGATGAAAAATATTTTGTTTTCTTATTCTAATGATTTTATTTTTATTAATTCAAATATATTTTACTTTCACAAGTTACTTTCTTTTATTGACAAAATTTGTAACAGATGTTATTTTTATAATAAAGGAAAATATTGATGAAAATTTTCTGGACGAACAAATGACTCATCTAGATCAAGTCTTTTCAATTTAGCGCAATTGAGACGTGCTCCATTATTGTTAAAATTGTTTGTTACCATTACGAGTGAGTCGTACTCGATTCCAAGATTGAGCAAACGAGGTATATAAGTGTTTCTATCGTAGAGAAACTGTTCTGCATAATCCACATGTGCTAGAAACAAATTCAAAAGAATAAGATGAGGAAATATAATCAATGTCGATGAATGTTGTTTATTTTTTTGTGGTTGATCATTCTCTATACGTAAATGTTTGAGAAGAGAAAAATCTTGAGAGATAATTTTGAATAATTCATGTTCAAAAGGATCTACATCAGTCATAACTAAATACAGGACTTTATCAAACATGCCACCTTGAAAAGAGTTGTTAAGATGAAGAAAATAATCGAATTGGTACGGAAGTGAATAGACATGAGATCTACCTTCGATCCCCGTTGATGAAGTATGAACATATGAACCCACTTGACCATATCTTCTTTCAACGAAACTACGTTTAATATCTTCATTTGATGAAAGATTAATTCTAGCATTCACGTTGGCAACAGCAGTGTTTATATTGAAGGTAAGTTTGTTCAGATGTGGCATGTAAATAAGAATTTGATTATGTAATTGAATACCATCAATATAAGGCGAGTCAAGTCTTATTACTGACAAAAACAATGTCAATTCTTCTAGATTTATCATTCGACGAAGTAATGGAATAATGGCATTGTCATACTGCAGTGTATATTCAACCGACGTCAATGAGAAATATTTTAATTTGGGAAGTTTTTTCTGTGAAGAAAATACGGTTAAAAATGCTTGTTTATGTAGTCTAATGTTTTTCCTAAAAACAATGACTGAAAATCATATTTACCGTGTTATCTATGATTGATGATGGAGTTAATATTTTATGCACATGAATAATCAATGTCGATAAACAATCGAAACGTCCATCGAGGAGATAACGACAATTATCAAAACCTAAGACACTAATTTGTAATTTAGCCAAAGTTGAAGACACATAGCGTGTTAATGTTGCATCATAACAAATGCAAATCGGCAAGCTTCGATAATGGTAGAATTGGCAAAAATTCAAATCAGTTAATCGTTTACATAGAGATAAAATTAAGGCAAATATATCTGATAGAACTGTGTATTCTTTTATTGGTGGCGTATTCTCAATATCGATAGTAAGATTTGTGATTTGTTGAGCAAGAAGATCACGAACAACTGAATCATCTTGAATGTAAATAATGAAAACGATTATTAATTTATATCTAATAACTTTATTATTTTTTTCGGCAAAAGGAAAAGATTCAACACTATACCTGTTAAATATTGAAAAAGTCTATCTGCTCGACAATTAATAAGTGATAACGAGTTAAGTTGTGGATAATTCACAGCATGAAGAATACGTTTCATTGAATATTGTTCAACAGTCAGCTCGTGTACTTGTTCATGAATTCGTGGTAAGACTTTTTTACATATTCTATCAAGAACACGTTTGTCTATTGAAAAAATACGATCAAAATACGATTCAAATGTCACGCTAACCATATTAAGATTACGAATATAAAATGAATTAAGTATTAAATGATCAAATCGTTCGTGAACATCCACAAGTGAATAGAGAACATCAATCATATTCAGTTTATTGAAAATGGTGAGTAACATTTCGTTGGGTAACATGAGCATATTGAGATGATTATTATTGGAAGTGTCCATGTCTAACAAACACTGTTTATTCATGTGAAATCATATATACTTCCATTTTCTCATTGTCGTCTGTCAGAACAATGAAGACAAAATATTGATGCCATAATAATAGGCTACGATGAATTGACTGATGTCATTCTTCTCTCTATCTTACATTTTTCATTATTCATTCATTATTGGTCAATTCGTCAGGTCATTCTTCTTTCGTCAATGTTTATTGTGTAGCATCTCTCTATAACACAATATCATATTGATAATAAGAAACACTATATCAAATAGATATTAGTATTCATGGTAAAACAAGATTCGTTTCAGTTTCTTCCTAAATGGTTTGATGTCAGTTTAGTTAGTATTATGGATGTTTTATTGCAACTCATTCATCGAGAAGAAATGCATGGATTATATAAGGTGCGGTGAATGTTGCAAATGATAAAACAGCAATAATCGTATGTAAGCGATATTTCCATAATTACTATTATAGAATAAAGATGAATTAATTATGATAGGTGCTATGCATTAAGGCCTTCCGCCTTCAAAAAAGTTCATTTTCGTCAGAAATTTCGAAATTGAGATAAATGCATGAGAAGATAGCTCGTGATGTGATCTTTCGTAAACGACAAAATTTTTACTCGGCATCTCCTTTTTTCCTAAAATTTTTGAAGGCTTTCTTCATTCACTATTCGAAAAGTAAGTTGTTTTTACGAAAATCTTTTTCGTTTTTTCTTATTTAATGCTTTTTTGATCGCGGAACCCAGAATTCTCTGCGGATCGTCATTCTATTTATTTAAATTCTTTTTGTTTGAAAGAGCATGACAGTCCTTTTTTTATTTTAGCTTTTTCTTTTAATATATATATATATATACACTAATATAAATAGATCTCCATTTTCAGAGAGTTTTTTGAGACCTTCAACTTGTCACTCTTTTTTTTCACATAAAAAGGAAGAACTCTAAAAGAAGGGCTCTGTCATAGCCTGTATTCTGACATACTCTTTCAAACAAAAAAAAATTAAATATGTAGAATGAACCTGGGCAGAGAATGTTGGGTCCCCAAATGAGCTATTTTTCACCCTTGTTTCGTCAATATCTCTCTTAAACGTCAGGGTATAAGGCTGAAAATGTTACCATAGCTTCCCCACTACAGCCCCAACTTTTCCTGGAAATTTCATGCCATTTGGAAGTTTCTGGGCTGCGGTCGGTTTTTGAGGGGAGGGCGGCCTTAAATAGCTGAAATTTTCTCAAGAAAAATACATTAGATTTTAAGCTTTCTAAGTGTTATAAGAATTCAAATGATTTCCTATAGACATTTGAAACCTTATATTTCTCTTGAATTTCTTTTTCCGAATGCGTAAAACAAAAACAGTAACTGTGCAAATTTCGAAAGATATGTTCACTCTCTTGCATTATTTTGTTTTTTTTTGATATCCAAACTTTTCTATGTATCTATTCTTCTTTTTTACATATTATTTATATTTCATCAATCACTTTTCATGTGCTTCTGGATAATGTAATATAACTATATAGGAAAAGATCACATATCAAAGTAAGAAAGATAACTAGATTTTAATGCAAACAGTGTAGAAAGCGAAATTGTTTAGACTTAAGATGAGATGCTTAAAGTAGACTTGGCGCTTTTGGAAAGGTAGTTTGTATGCATTTTCAAACACTCGACAGATTGTAACAAGAAATTACAGAATACCTGCTAAGATTTGAATAATAAAATCAATGAATAACGTTCTTTCGCTTTATTTTATCAGTTTCATTCTTTTGGTCTTTAGGTATTTATTATATTATCTTCAAATATAATTAAAAAATAATGAAATTTCTTTTTATTTCAGCAGTGTCACATATCCTGCAATTTGGAGAAGTGCTCACATCTCTGCCGGGTGATGCTGCATTTTCAGCGGGAGATGCAGCACCCAATGTAAGAGATGTACATCTCTCAATGAGATGATACATCTCCAACAACAAATCACCGTATCTCCCGAGTGTGGGTGCCGCATCTCCTGTGAGAGAAGTGAGCACTTCTCCAAAATCTTGGATATGTGACACCACTCCTTTGTTTTCAGTTCTCTCAAAACCTAATTAAGACAACTCAAGAGAACATTTTGCTTCTTTAAAAACAGATTCAAGTTTTCAAGATTTTTGTGAAAAAATATGTATGACAAATATTTTTATTACTTTCAACATGATACGACATAGCAATGTTTTATATATCCTATCTTTCACTGTTCTAAGAACTCATCAGGACATGTGGACAAGACGTTGTGATGCATTGTTGTAGAGAATTCAACAACAGCGTCTATATTTCATTTTTTCGAAACTTTTCTGAAAGTTGCTGTACTTAGGTACTTCTTTCATGGTCAACTGAACGAAACTGAGGCAAACACGGGCATATAACACCGAAGATAAAAGTAGACCAGATTTCAGATGAAGAACAGATGAGAGATGAACGCTTATTCTTGCAAATCATGGATTTGTTTTTAGTAAAGTTATATTATGTTCTACGTTATGAAATAGAAATTTTTTTTTAATTAAAATGAATCCTGGAAATTCCAAAAAACAAAATAAACCACGAAGGATTCTCAACTTCCATAGCACATCTTTCGACAACACTCCTAGATCATATCAGTCGCCTATAGAAGGGTATATATGTCAAATAGATGCTGTTCAAAAACACATTGAGATATCCGATATCCCTTGATAAAAGTTAAAGTGGAAAAGCTAGAAAGTATTCCTCCCCGAACATCACCTTCCTATCGTTTCTGAAAAGTGTTGGGCCTCCCCTAGATTAGAATCGCTCCGTCGCCTCTGCTTAAATTATAAGTCGATGTTTAGGGTGTATGTGTGAGTGTGTGTCTCAGTGTGTTACTATGACCAACAGATCTACTGCCAAATACACATGTCATCAACAGCAACTTACAGTTTAATGCTACGAAGAATTGTCCTCAGTATCTGTATTTCTAATCATGAAGTAAATATTCCTGATAGGCATGTCGTTGTATAATAATGATGAAGATTTCACCTTTTGTACTTTTTATTTAAAAGTGTTTACTTGCGCCATCTATTTTCTTTTGAAACTTTAAGAAAAAACTTCTTTGATGCCAATATCTTCAATTTACTTTCTTTCAGTGGAATCAGTATCAATTTTTCATTTGCTCTCTTTCTTCTTTCATCGCATAATTCCATGATAAACTATAGAATAAATCCATCAAATCAGAATTATTTATAATCTTAAATTTCATTTCATTTTTTTTTTAATCATTTGATGAAATAAAAAGGTTCAACGATTATCTTTTAGTTATGGCGTCTAATACAATTGAAAAGTATCCTTTAAATCGTCGTAAAGATCATGTAAATCGAAATTTTCAACTTTTCGATGATATCAATAAATCAACTAGTAAAAAAATATCTTCAAAATTACAAACAAAATCCAATATTCGTAAACCTGAATTTATTCTTAGTATTCATCATAAGGAAAGTCTTCATATAAATAATGGTTTACGTCCATTAATATCTTTATTAAAAGAACATAAAGGCAAAGAAGTTCATCAACCTGATCCACGTACATCACTTCATATAAAAGGTTTAGATAATATTTATTATAAAACTCGTAAACCATTACAAACACATGATGTATGTAAACGTTTTACACCAGGTATGCCTGTATGGCTTTATTTTAAAACAACATGTGAAACATTAGATGATAATTTATTTTCATATGAGAATGAAATTATTGATTATACACCAAAAGAACGTCTTCATTATGGATATCGTGGTCGTCTTCAACGTGAACAATTAAAAATAAAACAAAATAAACAAAAACAAATAAATTCTTCTTCAACACCTGATCCATTATTAAATTTAATATCAATACGTAAAAATGCACCATTATCAACAACATGTCATTTAGTAACACTTGGTTCATTTCTTGATTGTGGAACATATATTGCACATACATCAACATTACCAGATATTGATAAATTTGAAATTGAATTTCGTACAATACCACAATCAATTTATTTACGTTCAATTAAAAATCAAGATTATATAAATACAAATGATGATTTACTTTATAATAAAATACTTTATTCAATATTAATACCACATGATAATATTGAATCATATATAATAGTTAATCATCAAGATGATTTTATTGATATATTTATTCCACTATTATATGCTATTAAACCAACACAAGAAATTGAATTAGATGATTTAGGTACAAGAAAACGAACACGTGCAACAAGATTTCATCGTTTTGATACAAAACATATTGCACAATCATCAGTTATTCATGTACAAATACCACTTTTAAATACAAGTAGTAAAATGATTAATGATTTAGCTAGTAAATTACTTGAGAATAATATAAAAATTTTATATGGAAATATAAAAATTATTTATTTACCAAATGATTATATTAATTCATATGAAAATTTACAATTTGGAAATTATCTTTGTAATTATGCTTGGCATATGCTTGTATCACTTGGTTAGTTTCTTGTTTTTTCATTTTACATAAGTTTTTATGATAAATTCTATCATCGTTATGTTGTTATATATTTTTTGTTTTTGCAAAACCTTTTGATGAAATAGTTCGTTTTTTTTTTGACGAGAGGAATGAGATTAGTCAATTGAACGACATATATTTACATCTACAGAAAAGAAATACTAGACAAGCTAAAACTTACACAATCAACTAATCTCACTAAGAACTTTATTCTTGTAAAATTTGAAATCGAAACTCGAAAATCACGCATTTTTTATTTGTCTTTTACTCATATTCTCTCATGAATGGCAATATCTGAAAGAACAGAGAATAAAATTTAATCTTGATCGAGAATAACTATGACTTTTGGTTAGATCCAGAAGAAAACAAGAACCAACCAGAAAAGTACCGAAACTCGATATAGACCTTGTCCTCATTCTCACATTTATTTCTAGAACACATGTCACGAGAGTATCTGTCTGGAATACGTTAATACGTTTACTCATTGAAATACTTCCATTAACACAACTACTAATGAAATAGTCATGACAGCTGCATCGAGATTTCTAACTCAAAGAAGAAAATTGTTTCTTTGAATTTCATAACGAATTAGCAAATATGAAGATGTGTATATGTATTTGATTATTATTGAGTATATTCCTTCTATGTTGAATAAAACATAGTCCTCTATGATCAACGATACAAGATATCCTGAGTATTTCTCATTCATTTTATGACAGAATGTTCAACAATTAAAATAGAGAGACTGCAACATTTTAAAAAGTATGCAATTACTCGAAAAATTAAGTACACTGTAGATAATTTAATTTTTATCTAACGAGGAAAATACTCCAACGGCTTCCGAGCGTTGACTTCATCTTTTGTCTGTAATTAGATTTCGATGAGACAAAGAAAGCCTTCAAAGCGCTGGAGATTATGATTTTTTGGTTAAAAGTTATGACCATTTCACTAAATTATGGATCTAACAGATGGAGGTATTTCGAGTTGAAATTGTGTTCATAAACTGGTCTAATGATTTCTAGTCATCACCAAAATTTTCAGTCAAAATGAATGTTTTCTTTTCGAGATAATGAATTTTCAAAAAATGCTCTCTTATGACAGGCAGGACACAATACTGTAACTGCCTTGAAAATTTTAATATTTCGAAAAGAAAACATTCATTTTGACTGAAAACTTTGATGAAAGTTTAAAAATCATTAGAACAGTTTATGAACAAAATTTCAGATAGAAATACCTTCATATGATTTTGCTGCTGAAACTGTATATTAAACCGAAACTTTAGTAATTGTAGTCAAAAGCTCGGAAGCAATTGGAATGCCTGTCTCGTAAGTACAAAATATGAGCCGAAAAACAAACAGAGAAAAATGCAACTAGATCATCGATTTATTTTTCTTTTCTTTTAAAAATAGGTTATCGTCTAAAAGATAAATTAACTGATGAATTCGTATCAAAATTAGTCGATATATCAAATGATTCTTCATTATTTTATCATGCATTACGTGATTTATGGAAAACATGTAAAGATAATCGTTTTTTGGATATATATATAACATTATCAAATAATGCAATAAAATATTCTGATATTGGTGCTCGATGGTTATTTGATTGTACAACACCAAATTATTGTTATGTTCCACGTGTTATTGTAACACCAACACAAATATTACCACAACCAATGCGTCCAATGAAAGAAAATCGTGTTTTACGTGGTGGAAGATTTGGTTCATCATTTGCATTTTGTCGTGTTTTATTACGTGATGAAGATCTTGTTACAATGTCAGCTGAAACTGTTGAACAATGTCGTGAACGTATATTAGATTTAATAAAACAAGATTTAACAATAGCACAAACTGATTATGAATATCTTCATTGTTCAAATTCACAATTACGTGATCGTTCATTTTGGTTTTATAAACCAAATAATGGTAATACAGCTGAAACAATACGACAATGGATGGGAAATTTTCGTCATGAATATTCGGTTTCATCATATGTTACACGTATGGCACTTTGTTTTACGGGTTCAATTAAAACATTTACAATACAACAATTAACTGAAATTGAAGAAATTCCAGATATAAAGACAAGTGATGGACGATATGTTTTTACAGATGGTATTGGAAAAATAAGTGAACCAATGATGAGACGAGTTTTTGAAGCATTAGATCTTAATCAAACAACAGGTTATTTACCCTGTGCACTTCAAATACGAATGGCAGGAATAAAAGGTGTTTTAGTTAAAGCACCAGAACTTGGTATTTGATGAAAGCTTCAGAGAGAAAATAAATTTTCTTTTTGTATTATTTAGGTTTACGTGAAGTTATTCAAGTTCGTCGATCACAAATTAAATTTGAATGTGATCATTATGATCTTGAAGTTATTGATTATTCTAAACCATGTAATTTAACATTAAATAGACAAGTTATAACATTACTTTCATCACTTGGTGTTCAAGATATTGCTTTTTTACATTTACAAAATGAAGCACGTCTTCGAACAACAATGGCTTTACTTAAATGTCGTGAAGCTATTAGTTTATTGGATAAAGTTAGATTTTTTGAATTTGAAAAAATTAGTAATTCAGGAAGTATGTTTTTATTATGAAATATAATTTCTTTTTGAACTAGAGTTATATTACATATCGTCAAATGATCTTATCTTTCAGCTCTGTTATAATATTCGTATATAAGAACGGCTATCTTGATTGATTCGATCATTCATTGTAAAACTAAAATTAATGATTAGAAATGAATATTTACTAAAAGAAATTGAATTTATATAGAATAGGTATCGTTAAAATTGAAGTTTAATTTAAAGTTTCGAAATTGGATCGATTGAAATTCATTGGGTTTATACTTTAAAATATCTAACTAACGAGTTTTATCATCATGTATACAGTATAAAATTTTTAAATAAGATTGATTTAATGAGAGAACGGTTCAAATTGTTCAATCGCTTTTCATTTCAGACTATTGCCGTAGATATCTTAGCAGGGACAGGTCTGTTTTGACTCGAATTCTGGTGTGTTTCTAGTGACTATGAGACTTGTCTATGGACAAAATTTAATTAACCAGGTTCTCAGTGATAGTATACTCTTAGAGCAAAAGTCAAAGTGAAACGTTCAAAACGCGACAGACGAAGACCGGAAAACCAAAACAGACTTGTTTTACAATTCATTATGACCAATCGAATGGCAATAGTCTCAAGCAAAAAGCGATTGAACAGTTGAGAATAAAATATATAATCGTATATAATAAATAATCATATAATAATATTTCTTTTTCAGTTGACATATCTCAAGAACCATTTTTTCGTTCACTTTTAATTGCTGCTTATCGTGATCGATTACGTTGCTTAAAACAACGTTCAAACGTTTCTATACCAAAAATGTATGGACGAGCTATGTTTGGTATCATTGATGAAAGTCGAACACTTCACTATGGTGAAGTATTTATTCAACATACATCAAATAGTCAACTTGAATCCGAAATTGTTCTTGGTTATGTTGCTGTAACAAAAAATCCTTGTCTATATCCTGGTAAAATCTTTTTTTTTTAAAGTTATCTTCATCATAAAACAATTTTTTTAGGTGACATTCGTGTATTAAAAGCTGTTGATGTTCCACATTTACATCATTTACATGATTGTATTGTTTTTCCTTGCAATGGTAAAATTTAAAATTTCATTTCTTTTTGTGAAACATGAGTTAGAAAGAGTATCACAGACCGTCGGTGTTTAATGCAGTGCAAAGAGGAGCAGCACCACTCCAAAGACCGAGTTGACTCTCTTCCAAAACTTGTAGTTATTTTACCACATACTATGTGCCCATGCTTCCAAAAATAGGTGTTTGTTTTTCTGAATAAAACACTGCAGACCGTGACAAACGTTATTGATATACGATCAACGACCGTATTTGAATAACGTCTCGTTATAATATCTCACCTACTTCCTTATTGCATTTTTGAAGAATTAGATATAAAGATGATGAAAAAGTAAGCTCCAAACAGCAGTATCATATATCGAGGAAATCAGGAATGCGGGATATGCGAAAGTATCTATGACATCTACAATAGAGATGCCGTATCTCCTCAAAAGATGTAGTGAGAGATATGGTATCTCTGCTGAAGATCTCAGACTGTATTTCATATACCTTTTATAATCGAATAATCTGTTAATAGGCACTTTCGTATATCCCGCAGTCGTGATATACTGGGTATGTGACATCTATCGCTCGAAATTAGATAGAATTAAAAAAAAATTCCTGTGATCAACAAGAGCAGCTACATCGTATTTCAAATGACTAATCATTGATAGTTTTGGTTAACAGATTTTTTATGCAAAAACTAAATTATAAATCTTCTAGGTCATCGTCCACATACAAATGAAATTTCTGGTTCCGATCTAGATGGTGATGTTTATTGGGTTTGTTGGCTACCAGATATGGTACCTAATCTTGAAAATCAAATTGAACCATTAAATTATGATACAGCAGAAAAAAAACTTCTTGATCATGCCATAACAATTGATGATGTAGCTGATTTTTTAATTGATTATATGGCAAATGATTTTCTTGGTGAATTATGTAATGCACATTTAGCATGGGCTGATTTAGAATTAGCAACAAGTCCACGTTGTATTGAATTAGCTCATGATATAGCTGCTGTTGTTGATTATCCAAAAACAGGTGTTAATCCTGTCAATGATGAAAAACGTCGTGAATTAAAAGCACCACGTTATCCTGATTTTATGGAAAAAGAATTACGTACATATGCAAGTCGAAAAGTTCTTGGAAAAATGTATCGTCAAGCACGTTGTGCATATGATTTACATGTTCAATTAGAATATCTTGATGAAAAATATTTTATTGAAATTGATGAAACATTATTATTTGATGGTTTTGAAATATATTTAGATGATGCTAAGCGTCAATATCATTTATATTGTAATAAATTACAACAAATACTTGATTTATATGATTATAGTACAGAAGCTGAATTAATAACTGGTTGTCAACCATTATTTATTGATGAAAAACGTTCATATGATGCAGCTGATGTTGCTGGACAAGATTTTAAACGTTTACGTACAGATACAAGACGAGAATTTTTAAATGAATTTATTCGTTATAATGATAAACAACAACGTAAACGTGATCGTGATCGTGATATAACATTAATATCATCAGATTTCAATATAGCTCGTAAACAATTACAAAAAGCATCAGCTTGGTATTATATTGCATATACAGAAGAAAATGATGATCATGAACAATTAATTAAATCAAAATCATTTGCATGGTTAATGTGGGATTTTTTATGTGAAATACGTTCACGTAAAGAACGTATACATCATTTATCATCACGTACAATATCTGAAGCATTAAAATCATATTATATAACAATGACAAATGTTAAATCACGTCATATAGCAAATTATGAAAAAGCACGAACTAATTTATATAAATATTTATTAGAAGATCAATGTGAACATTTATTTGAACCAGCTTATTCATTTCTTAATATACCTGATTTAACTGGTACACGTGTACGAGTTATTATTGATTCACATAATAATTTAAATAAATCAAAAACAATTATTAATTTAAATAAACAACAATATGATATTGTACCATTAAATATAAATAAAATAAAATTATTTAATAAAGCCAATAGATTTTATTTTAAATTATTAATGCAACAACCAGCTATTGCAACTGTCCTAGAAATAGCTATTGATTGGGCAGCTAAACATCAATGTTTTACAAGAATGGATAGAGAAGGAAATAAAATTCTTGTTCTAAAACCAGAAATGTTTTTTGAAAGAGCACTTAAAGCTTTATTTAAAGATGTTCCAGCTTGTTATTTACCATCATTTGATGATAATGACGAAGATGATAATGATCAAATGAAAATTATTAATGGATCAATTGAAGATGATTCAATAACATCATCTGATGATGATGAACATTCAATTAAACTAACAAATAAACAATTAAATAAAGATTTATTTTTAACTTATGAACAATGGACTAATTATATGATTGATAAAGTAAGATGATTAAATCTTCGTTTTTTTTAGGAATTTATATTTCTATCTATTTTTATTAGGAAGAAATTGAAAAACATTTGAATCATAAGTTTTTGATAAATGAATATTAGATTATAGTTAAGATGATTTTCTGATATACTATTAATATCGACAGAAAACTTTAGTGTACTGCATTAAAAATTGAATGAAATTCAATTAGTTATCAGGATCGGAAAAAGAATCCTTTATAAAAGGAATAGTTTGAATTAATTATCTATCGAATCCAGTTTTAGTTTATATATACAGTAGTGGACAAAAGTTGACATCAGCAGATCTCAGCTTTCATAAATACATCGAGAATTATGACGAACGACGCCTCTTTTTGCTTCAAGCGTTTTAACCAGAAAAGTTATCTATTAAATTATGCGTTACCGTTTATAAAAATACTTGACTCATTCTTGATATTTTTATTTACAACTGAATCGCAGTAGATGGTTTTTCGTCGTTCAAATTATCATGTAACTTGCTGAAGATTGCTGTCTCTAGATTTCTTTGAACCCTCGACATCAAAAAAGAATAATCTACTTACATAAAATCAAAATGTTTCTATGGCATATGAGTTCAAATGATTCTTTTCAAAAGTAATCGTTTTTACGATTCTACTAAGTTACTAAACTCGATCCAAATTTATTTACAAAAGTGTTCATTTGTTCTCTCTTTTCACTGTTCTAAGCTGTCGATTGCTATGAGATGATGTTCTTGACTTATTGAACTTTTAATCGAGTAATTTCAAGTCTACTGTTGACATTAGTTCATTTCTTGTCGTAGTTGATAACAGCTCCTTATAAAAAAAAATATCTTCAGTTTCGAATGTTGTGATCCAATGCTAATTAACCGTGACTGAGTAGTTTCAAGTGCCTTCGATTATTTGTTGACTTCTCTCACCAAAAAAAGATCAACGTCAAGATATTTGCGTCTTATTAACTTCCATCAATGGAATTCAATTCAAATTAAGTCTAAAGCAAAACAATAATTCTATTACATAAAAGTTATTTCGTTTGAATTAGAATTATATAGAAGCTAGAATTTTTGGCAGACAGTATGATACATTATTAACTCAAGTTTAGAGACAGCGGCAAAAATGGAAATCACCAGTGCTTTGAGGTATACTCATTAAAATCTAGAATTCTATGAGTAACATCTACTCTGAAAGCAGTTCATGTCCATGACGTGCTTCTGCAACGATATTCGGTCTATTAGGAAACCGCCAATTTAATATCTGTTGATTGTTCATACATCACGTTATAACTATGATGATAGTATGTTTCACGCATCGCTTTGATAATAAACCTATTAGTATCAGTATTCATATGTTGTAATTAAGCAATTAATAATTATAGATTTCATAAAAAATTGTTTCTATTGAGATCTTAACAGGTGTATGTATTGCCTGAATGACAATTTGAAAGTTAATTTTTCTAGTCAATTTGAAAAGTATCTCAATTATTGAAATAAGGAAAAATGTAAGAGCTGTATTTTGAAAAAAAGAATATGTTACTTTTAAAGAAACGCATTTAATTTCTAATAATTTTTTTTGTTTTAGTGGGATTTTCAAGCAATAGCATACAATTTTCAAAAATTGATTCGTGTTTGTAATGATGAAAAAGATATATGTTTTCTCAATGTATGTCATATACTTTTATTGGCATTACAAAAAATTGGTATTACACGAAATCTTGATAATGCACCTGTTGATCTTAAAGATTCACTTGTTTATCGAGTAAAATTCTATTAATTTAAAAAAAAAAATTCTTATGCTTTTTTTTGTTCTTTTAAGTTGGATCAACCATTGAATCGAAATCATCCATCATCTGCATTAAATGAAAGTATATCAAAACCAGAATCACTTCCACCAGAATAATCCTTGATTTATTCTGATTTTTGTCCTTCCGAATTGATATTAGAATTGCTTTTTTTTTCTATCTAGTCATTGATAAAGATGTATAAAGTCTCTCGTTTTTTTTAATTGTTATTAGTTTGTTTGTTTTGCATAACAAAGTTAAGCTTGTAATATTTCATGTCAATCTCAGATTGTCGTTCGTTATCAATACGACTTCTTTTCTTCTTTTGTGATCAAACTTGTCTTTCTTTATCTTGTATATAAATGTATACATATATTTTGATACAGTGGCATATTTCCATCGCTACTTTTCTTTCTTTGAAAAAAGTGTAGATGCATTGTATACATTGTTATTCTCAACTTTCTTCGTTTGTTTTTGCTGTAAATATATCTATTAACTTTCATTGCATTTTTGTTATTTAACATGAATAGAAAACCATGAAAATATTTACTATGAATTGCTTCAGTTAAGATTGACTTGTTCACCACCAATGACAATAATGTTTATTGAATTATTTCATCATTTTAGTCAGTTTTATTTTTCTACAAATCCATCCATATAAATCAATCTCACATAATAAGAGAAAGCGATACATATATCTCAATGCTATTGACAACTGTTACAAATGAATTTCAAAAGTAATGTTTATAATCGACAAAGATTTAACTACATCTAGCTGGTTGATTTTATATATTCAGTAATATATTACACAAAGTAATATTCATCTTACACAAGAAGAGAAGTTATTGTGAAATAAATAAATTGAGAAAGCCAATAGCTGCCGGCTTTAGTTTTTCACCGTTGTGTAGCTATGTTCGAGGCATGTCAAACTATAGAAGAAAAAATTTTTTCGATTGAATTTGTGATAGGTGTTCTGGTTGATCTTTAGAGATATTTTTNTCTGATAAATAATGTGCTACAAGTAATTATTTAAACTAAATTAATTACTAAAATGAGTTGCCAACATATCATGAAAAAAATTCATAAAGCTTAAAAAAAGATACTTTCTGAAAAAAATGATGGAAAATTTAGTTATATCTCTCTTCATATAAATTCTGTTCTCTAAATGAAGAAAAATTTTTTTCGATTGAATTTGTAATAGGTTTTCTGGTTGATCTTTAGAGATATATTTCATAGGCTCAGCATGAAACGTTCATTTTTAAGCCGTGTATTTGATAGAACAAGATTCGCTCTTTCGAACTACTTTAGGCTTTTGCCTTTTTTTCCATAAGACTCGCCGTATCATTTTGCATAAAATGAAATCATTTTCGCAACGAAGATATTTTTCTCCATTTAGAGAACAGAATTTATATGAAGAGAGATATAACTAAATTTTCCATCATTTTTTTCAGAAAGTATCTTTTTTTAAGCTTTATGAATTTTTTTCATGATATGTTGGCAACTCATTTTAGTAATTAATTTAGTTTAAATAATTACTTGTAGCACATTATTTATCAGAATGAAATATCAACGTATCATGGCGAAAGCCATAGTAACTTAAGAATGAAAAAACTTTCTGCATAAAAATGATCGAAAATGTTGATTTGAAACATTGTGTGTTATGTCCTTTTTCATTCAGATTCTGTTCTTCAAATGGAGAAAAATGTATTAGTTGAGTCATTAATTACATTTTGTGCAATATGACACAGCAAATCTCTGGAAAAGATATATCAAATCTAAATGATGAAAATTGACCCAGATATCATTAAAGTACTATGACCACTATTTACTCTATGTCATGCGTTAGATTTTTAATTTGAATTATATCTAATTGTTTTTACTTCATTAAAAAAGAAAAGACATGATTTTTCTAGAGATAAGAATATCTATATAATTTATTCTAAAAGCTTCATAGTATATTTATTCAAATAGAATCAATCCATAACAAGAAAACAAAAGAAGAAATAGGTTTACTTTTCTTTAGAGAGCATGATTATCTTTTCTTTGTTATTTATAGAGTAAGTAGAGATCTAGTTTTCATTTACGATAATCCTTTATTTATTAGACCCTCTGACGTTGGTGAATTACAAAGAATTTCAATTTTGTATGTAAATGTCTTACTATGATGAACATTAATCTGGATGTGTCGTTTTTTTGACAAATGTATATCTGTAATATTCTCAACTTGGTGAAAATAGACTATTGTTTTAAGTACGATAGTCATGATTGATAAAATACATTTTTATGTTATTATAACAGCACAAATCTACGAAAACATATGTAATATCAAAAGTGTTATATGTCCTTAATTGAATATTATTATTTAAATGATAGCATTAATCATAATTTATTTTTGTCGTGTTAGCTCAATTTTATTAATGTATTTGGGTTTATTAATTGGTAGTTTTTGTACAATATTTATTCTACGAGAAATTTATATTCATTCTCAATTTCATACATCTTTAAATTTGCTTATTATTGTAATTTTTTGTACAGATTGTATTCGTGCATTTGTTTGTGCACCTTTAGAAACATTTGTTTTAATAAATACATTCAATATATCAATTATGAATTGTCAGGAACAAAATTATTTTACTAAATATAATAAAATAATAATAAATTTTTGTCGTTTTACTATGGCTGTACGTTCTTGCTTTAATGTAATACAACCATTTGGTTTTATAGCAATTGCTTACGAACGTTTACGTGTAATTGTAAAAAGAAATGGAAATTTAAATATGAATATTATTGCTCATCAACAACGAGATCTTATTCGTTTAAAAAACATTATTATTTGGATTTGTATCAGTTTATTATTCGGTATTATTGTTGGTATTTATCAAGCGATAATATATTCTCCTTCAAATACATGTTATGGACAATCTACTTTCGCATTTCATCCTATAATGCTTATTCTTTTGTTGTGTATTATTGTTGCGGCATTAATAAGTGGTTTTATCTATGGAAAAATGTTTTTCGTTTTAAGAAAATATCAAAATAATATGATTATACCGATTGTTATTGATGGAAATCATGATAATCCTGTAGGACATCAAAATACTTCGATTAATGATATACATAGAAAAGATCTTCGTTTAGCTAAACATTCATTTATTATATTTCTTTCGTTTTTTTTATGTCGTCTACCATGGATAATTATGACTCTAATAGATTTAATTCTTACACGACCATTATCTGGATATACTCAATGTTATTTTGAAGAATTTACTGGTTTTTCTGGACAATTTGTATTTTTAGCAACTATAACAGATCCATTGACTTATATTTGGATTCAACCAAGATTGAAGCAAAAATTCGTTCGATTTCCAATTATATCAATTTGTTTTAATAATAGAATACAAGAGTAAGATGAATAACTTGATGAGTTATTTACTTTGAATAGATGTTTTTCATGTCAAATGTTGTATAGTTTATTTTTCAATAAAAACAAATTATTAATCAACTTTTTTATTTCTATATTGAAGATTCTATACCCATTCGAACGTTTTTTTTTTAGAAATAATTCGTAAACAAACATCAGAACAGGGGTAGCGCGAGCGGAAGGCGGTTGGGGAGGGTGCCCCCCTGCTTTCAAAAGTTTGGACTGAAATTTTAAGAAATTCAGGATGAACGATTCAATGATTGAAGGTATAAATAATGTGAAAAAATAGGTTGACACTCAAGGAAACAATACCAAAGAAAATGAAATAGTGTTACTACTTTCTAGAAATATCCAGATCAAGAAATACGAGCTGTTTCCGATCAGAAAACTCGGGAAAATGGCAGAAACTTAGAAGTAGCAATCCGATGATTGAGTGTAAGTGGCCAGCTATGTTTGGTTACGATTGAAACTAGAAAGATCTCTTACCCGTTCTCAGAGTTTTCCAACAGAGCGTGTTGCTACGGGATCCTGCCGGGAACTCAGGAATTTGGAGTATGAAATTATTTAATATGGATACTTAATTTATAAATTCTTTTTTTTTTTACTTGTCTGTATGAAAACCTTATGTATTAAAGCAAGTTTCGATCTTTTGCTCATTAAAAGTTAGAAAAGTTTTCATTCTTGAATTTCTAGATCAATTTAATCCTAGTTTTATTCAATTTTCATCATTAATTTTATTCTAAAAGTTTTTCCAAGAATACATAGTTCAACAATAATCGTTGTAATACATGAAGAGAGAACGATAGATGTTTCTATCTTAATGCTCAATTGATAAGTTTAGAAAATAAAAAATCGATTTATATACGTTCAGAACTTTCAGATTCAATTGTTTGTTTTTAATTGTTTTTCTTATATTGTCCACCTGTGAACGGCACCTATAGAAAAGAATTCTTATCTAATGGACATTCATACATAATGATTGGCTAATTACAAGACTATTATTGTTGTGTTCAACTGATTAACATTGACTATCTTTCTTTCTTCAAATTAAATCAATCATCACAATGGCTCTCTGGGGTAAGAATAATCAACATATTAATTAAAACAATAAATTATAACATCTTTTAGAACAAGGAAGTGGTAGCGGTTTTCAACAACGAAAAATTGCTAGCGAAAATGATGGCAGTAATGGTCAAGTTCGTTTTTAACTTAGATTTGTCTATATTTAATCTAAAGAATTTCTTAAAAATTGTAGCGTTCAACAATTAAAGGTGTATTGGCATGTACAATAGCAACAATTCTCAATGCAAAACATTCCGAGTCGGATAACTGTTTTGTTTATAAACATTTAAAATTTAATACATGTATGGTTATGGGTTTAATTCGTGAAGCAAATCATGAAGTCAATAATAGTTTAGCTACATATCATATTGATGATCATTCTGGTGATTTACTTGAAATAAAATGGTGGCATGATGTAAATTTTTATTAATAAAAAAAAACAAATATTATTATTAAAATAAAGTTATATTGTAGGATTCCGGTGAACCATTGAAACCATTAACTTATATTAAAGTAATTGGTCAAGTGAAAACTTTTGGTGGTAAAGCTCATATTGTAGCACATACTGTTAGTAAAATGAAATCATTAAATGAATTAATTTCTCATTCAATTGAATGTATATATGCGAGTATGAGTATTCGAAAACAAGGCGAACTTGTATGTTTAATTGGATATTTAAGAAAAAATAGACATGCTCTTTTTGATTAGATGGGAACATCTATGACAATAAATAATAATTCTGATCGAAATAATCTTCATAGTCAACAAACATTAACAATATCGAATGGTTTTACACCTGTTCAAAATGCTGTTCTTAATATTTTAAAAACTGTAACATCAATGACTGGTTATAGTGTAACAGAAATATGTAAACAAGTAAAACAATTTAATGAATATCAAGTCAAGTAAAATATTTTCTTCTTTTTATTTATTTTGTTTTTTATTATAGAAATACACGAATTCCTAGAACATGATGTCAAATATTAAGTTTCTTTTCTTATAAGGAATGTGGTTGCTCTAGATTGTTCATATCAACAATGACGGGTGTTTGTTGCAATTTATGAAATACAAAACAAAGATATTGGAATTAGTCAAAATAGTTTTTTGATCAATTGCAACTGATTTTGAGACCTGTGTTTTGTATTGGATAAAACCTAAGAATACATTTGGAAAGATACTCAAAACTGATGTCAATTGGTATGAAGAATTTCAAGAAGTTCGATAATCCTCAATACTGGAAATATTCTTAACTCCGATGAAAAATTTCCAGGAATTGATTTATCTCTGATCACAAAAACACATGTCCTATATTGAGAATACCCGAAGTCCTAGCAGTTCTTCTTGTCAATGTGTTCAATTTTGAATGCTATTTCCATAGATATTCTTGCGTTTTGTCTAATGCAAAGCATAACTTTCCATATCAGCTTGGATTGGTTGAAAAAAACTATTCCGACTGATTCCACAACCTAAGCTTTGTATTCAAGCATTTTAATTACAGCTTTGGATAGAGCAATCATTGTTGATATAAATGATCCACATCGACCACATATTTAGAAGGAAAAAAACGTCATATCTGACATCATGTTTTAGAAATCGATGCATTTTTATTCAAATTATAACTTTTATTGAATTAAATATTATTTAGACAAGCTTTGGAATTTCTTTCGGGTGAAGGTCATATTTATTCAACAACAGATGATGATCATTTTCGTGCTGCTTGCAATTAGATAATTGATTATTCATTTTATTTCTTGTCAGATAGTCTAAATATATATATATATATATATCATATTTGTTAAAATAAATAAAAATATTCTTTCATTATCTTCAGATTTATAATTCAGAGAAAAAAATAAAATGGATCTTGATCCAATGATAAATATTTCACAAGATGAAAATACTTATTCAGATTATGATAACCGACCTATTCGACCAATGGATCAGGATGCACTTAATGAAGCACTTGCACGTTTACCGATTCTTATTGATGAAGATGATTCGACGAGAAATTCAGATCTGAATACAAGGTATCTGTTTATTTTTCTTTCTCGAAAACTGACATATTTTATTCTAGTATAAAATCACGACGACAACCAGTACTTGCATATTCAACAAGGCGTAAAAATTTTTCTGATGTTACTATCAATCAAACAGTATTAAATGTAACTGAATCACCAACAAATAACAAACGTAAATTGGGTGGATGTACACCAATGAATAAATTTATTAAACGTTAGTTAAGATAGAAAGAGAAATTGAATTTTAAAAATATGATTTCTTTTTTTTAGAAATTGATGCTCGTCAAGATTTAATGAATCTTAAAGAAGAAAATAAGATTTTAGAAGAAGTAAACTTAATTTATAAAAAAAAAAAGTTTCATCATTGCTTTGTTTGGTATTTAGGTTAAAGCTAATTTACAACTTGAATATGTTTTATTAAAAAAAGTAATTATCTAATATTTAAATGTATAAAGGAAATATTTTGATTAACTCCGCATTTTTGACCAGTTTTTTTCTTTAATTTAAATCTCAATGAAATCAAAAGAGAGACTCTTATGTATGCCAGAGACTGTCAAAGAGTACTTTCTCGTCTTGCAGGATATACACATAAACCAAAAGAGATTGGGGAATGGATTGAGTACCTTATGAAAAATTCCGATTGCTTTTTATGTTCAATATCGTATTCTGTCTACATAATTCCGAAAGAATACGATTCACAAGTTCGTTCGAAATTGATTAAACTAGTACTACTTTTATGCCATTATGATCGGATTTAAAACTTTGCTTTTCTTTTCAAACGTTTTCTTCAAATCCCGTTTTTTTTCGATTAGAAAGAATTCAAAAACATCTTTGCAATAAAAATAAATTAAATTAACGACTAAAATCAGATTATAATAATGTCATTTTAATTTGTTTGTTTTTGATAAAAAAATATTAATTTTCAAAATTCAATATCTAATCATTTTTTGGATCGGTGTATAACACTTGTACAATATTCAAACGATAGAAAATAGACATCTGTCAATGAAAACAGAGATTCTTTGTGCATGAATATCAACATTTAATAAAATCGGAAGCTTTCATCACCATTTAGCATTAGGTCGAAGTTCATTTTTTTGATCATTTGCTAGACTTGATTTTAATTTGACACAAGATTTTCAATCTCGTCAAAGTCGAAAGAGTTCGTAGTGACATATGATAAATCAGAGTGAGTAACATATTTGTAGATTTTAATAAAATCAAACGAAATCATGGAATTACATAGATAGCACATGCTCTGAAAGATTGATCTTTACACTTAGAAAACGCTTTCAAACGACTTCTTATTCAAAAAAGTCAGTAAGGCAAACTATTTTTTGTTTTATCTTGATGACGGTCTCTAATCTGTGCTTCTTTACTCTCGAACCATTGTGTTGAAGCTTCAAATACAGGGTAAAAGCATCGTTTACTAATAAAGATTATTCGCATAAAAATGTTCAAAATTTAACACCTGATTAGGTTTTTCGGTTGCTTTAGAAGGTGAATGGAACTGAAAACTCAGTAGAAAGTGTTATTATTTGACTTTATGATATTTTGTCAGAGGACAGAACATTTGGATTAAGTATCTACGAGATATAGAACTTTTAGAGTGTAGACTCTTCCATAGACTGTATCTACAGTAGATATTTTTTGAAAGCGCTGTATTTTGAAGAGACTTAGCCCAAAAGTTCTGAAATTGGTTGTAAAAACTAGTCTAACCGATATCTTCGTTTGAGCAAAGTTTCAAGTCGGCTTTCGCAAAGATGGTCTAGCTGCAACTGTGCAGTTCTAGAAGTCAAACTTCACTAAAAATATTCAACATCATGCAAAGAAGCTATGAAGGCGAACTCTTTTTATGATAGAGATAGATCACTAAAAACTATAAGATACACTACGTGCTTGATAAAAAACGATCGAACACCTGAAAATGGTCCGTCGTAAGAGAGAGAGTGTCTTTATATTAATATCCACCAAAAGTAGAGCTAAAATCGTTAACATTCCCTTTTGGTCAGGATTCCTCACAAGGCTGTAAAAGATTTCGCAGAAAGTTCGTAAGTTTCGTGAAGAGACAACTCGCGCTATTTCCTTCCTAATCGACAAGTTTCCATCTGTTAGGAGAAATGTAATATTTGTATTGTGATTCTCTTTGTGATAGAATAATTCTGTAAGAAAAATATACTATGTATATCAAATGTTGGACACTTTTTGTTTTATATTGGCTGTATCTTTGAAGCAAAGAACTATGGATATCGACGAATTTAGAGTTTTATTCTTCTTGTAGCCAAAAAAATATGCAGAGACGCACGAGGCATGATACTCCCTGCTTTTTCTTCGTATGAGCTGTTCTGCGTTTCTCCACTGTCGTCAATGTTGAGCTATGCTTCTGAAGATATGAAATCAAAAGTAAAAATAAAACTAAATATTATGAATGTTGATGAATTATGTTTTGAAAACTAATTAAATAATTAATATACTTTTGACTTATAGTCACATGAAACCGAATTGGAAAGATTAAAACAGGAACATCAACAAGACATCGAAACACTTATACAAGGTAAGATAACAAAGTAAAATAAAACTATTCTTTAAATCTCATTTCAGAACATAATTTACAACGTGAACAATTCAATGCATCTTTAGCCGATAAAGAACAAACACTCTTTCAAACTGTAAATGAAATTTTTATCGCTTTTTTATAAAATATGTCTCATATTTAGAATCTTGAACTTGATAATCTTCGAAATAATCATATGATGTTATTGTTAGAAAAAGAAACACTTGATAAAGTAGCTTTCATTAAAATTTAATCAAAGAAAAATTATTTATTTATGTATTTTTTTAAGATTGTTGCTGAATATCAATTAATTAAAGAAGAAATGAATAATAAATTAATTGAAAATGAAATAATTATAACGTATAAATCAATTTGTATGATTAAAATAAAATCCATAATAACTACTTGTTTATTTTTTAGAAAACTTCGAGAAGAAATTGAAAATATGAAAACTATTCAACAACAGGTTAGATTTAAATACTGTATAGAAGGTTTGATTATTTTTATTAATATAATTTTTAGGAACAATTAACGTCGAAATCTTCTTTAGCTACTGGTCGAATGCCAATAAAAGAAATATCAAGTAAAAATTAATCTTATTTTTAAATGAATTTTTTTTTTTGTTTGTCTTTTATCAGCCGATCGATCACGAGCTACTAACAATACTATTTCAAGAAATACAAATAATGAAGTGAACCGATCTAAGTATTATATATTTGTTTGTTGTTTTTTTATATTTGTTCGATTTGAATTTAGATCGAATAAAAAAGTTTCGAATACACGAGGACCTCTATGTTCGGCATCATCTGTCACTACAAATTTGAATAAGTAATTTAACGTTTAGATTTTGTACGAGTACAACAAGCGTCAGATTTTTCTTACAAGGTTCCTTATGAAGAGAAATGATGCTGAACCATAGAAAAAAAGCTTGATTTTGTGACATTGTAATCAATAAAATCATTTGGAACCAGCTGTTTTTCCTTCATTAATCCACGGGACACATCTCAAATTACTTTGTCTTTTTGTTTGAGTTGTATGAAACACCGTTCTACCTAACAATAAGAGTTAATGTTAGGACTGGCAAGTTATCTTTACCTCACGAGCTACCCATTATCAGGTAATAGAGAATTTGGGCGTTTATGATGAAAAGACCATTTTGAAAAATAAATAATACTACATAAAGCTTGATCGAATGTATTTGGGGTCGAGGAATTCGAATATGTTATCGATTTCTTAAAACTTTATACTGAATTTCTCGATACAGCAAAGGCTATTTTAGGACACTTGACTAAGAAACCAATCACAGATTCGGATTCCTCAACTCTAGAAATCTCAGGTGAAACTTCATAAAAAAACATTGTGATTCTTTCCCAATAACTATTTTCAGATGAAAGAATCAAATCCATGAATTAGCTCGTTACCTATTACTTGGTATCATAACTGCAACTTCTATTTCCTATGCCAGTGGTCAGAATCATTTGAATTACTCACAATCAATAGAGTCATGGAATCAACTTTTATGCCCAGATAAAAATTTATATTCAAGATGTCAGTGATGATGGGTAGTCATGCATTTATTTGTCACAGTCATCACCTAGTCAACATAGATGAGCGTAAGCTGATCAAATTGTAATTCTAGGAAATGATTAATGTCAGTGTTTATGGGTTTTTGTCGAGATATATAATAGTGTGTTGAGACCTCTTTTATGTATAACACATATGCACAACAAGCTTATTTGCCTGTTAAATCAATGATTAGCATAATAATAATAATGCTAAGTTACGAAAAACGGAATACAAAAATGCAAAGCAACAGCGAAAACAAAAACTAGAAAAACTTTCTGTTCGAAATGCAGAAATACATACAGTTATCTTGGAGAACAACTATAGTCAGCGAGAGACTTTTCACGTTAAAAATTTTGATCTAAAGGGGGCTACTCTAACAATCTTTTTTGTGTTTTTTTTTTTATTACGAATAAATTTTAGATCAACATCATCAACATGTTCATCAACATCAACAAATAAACCACCTTTATCAAAATTAAAACTTAAACCAAAGGTTGTTATTGATGATAAGAAGAAATTAACATCAACAGATAAACATACAAATTTAGCATCAACACATTCAAAACCGAAAATAGTCACTGTGAAATAATCATTGATTTCAATCAGATATAATTACTAGTCTTTTTCTTACTCTATAATATTAAAAAAATATTCTGGTTCTATTATGTCAAATATTTGTCGATAGTTCTTTGTTTTTATATATATATAATCAAATATAACGCTACCTATTTTATGTCAGATTTTGTTTATTGTACATTTTTTTTCGTGTAACGTTGTTTATGATATGGTATAGAAAAGAAGATAAGCTTTTTTTATGAAGAGAGTCTTTTTTTTTGTTTCTCTCTTTTCTTCTTTTCAATAAATAAATATTGATTTATGTCAACCAGACATAGGTCTTATACTGTTCAGAATGTATATCTAGCACAAATCTTATTGATTCATGTCATATTTAGAGATCTTCGGAAGTAAAAGGAAATGGTGAGTTTAGCATTGATGAAATCTCTCGATTAGTTTTTTTTTTGTTTAATTGTGATTGGTGTGATGATATGAAATAACACATATTGAAAACAAGCATGATTTTTGAAACCAGTATGCAAATAAGACATTGAAAAGCCTATCTTTCATTGGAAAAGGCTTCAAATTAAATTTTATCCATTGGAGTTACGGTCTAAAATTTTACGAGTAAAATGCTGAAGTGGAATAGAGCGAAAATTTTAACCAGAGATATTTTACGATGAAGTGTAAAGTATTTGATGTATTTTTGCATGCTGATCCAGAAAATCGTGCTGGTTTTCAATAAAAACTAAATTTTGATACTCGAACTCTAAAAATATTAAGCGTTTTTTCTTCGAGTACTTTACTTGGGAGTCACCTAATTTTAAAATGACTGATTTTTTTTTTACTAACACAGAAATATCCAAGGTTTGGATTAGAAGTTTTGATATCCTAACATAGTCTGCAATAAAAAAAATAATGAAATAAAAGCTATTGACTAGGAGTATATGTGCCATTTTCTTTAATCTTGTTTTGAGAATTCTTGATTTTGCATATCGACCTTGTCTCTTCAGAAGTTCGAACCATAGTTATAAATATCATTATTTTCTTCTTATTATTATTTTGATAGACAATATGAAACTGCACTGATAATAAAAAATCGGCTTGTTAGTGCAGTCTCTTTCTGACTGAAATGTAGAACTCACATATGTTCTTTAACCTCATTATGCTAATACTGAATACGTTGAGTGAAAATTCTCGCGCTGACAATATTTATTCTCCAAGATAATCGATCGTTGAGATAAGGATCTATCTTATTAATTTGTGCATTGGGAACGAAATTCTTTTTCTTCTTTTTTTACGGGTACCCTATGTTTTGTTTGCATTGTTGCTATTTGCTTGTTATTTTTCTTTTTTATATTTTCTTTTTTTAATTTAACATTTGTTATTATTATAAAAACACTGAATTAAATGGCAAATAAGGCTTGTGTGAGTATCCATGGTGTCTACACTAGCAAGTCTTAATGCACTAGTCTATATATTGCGATCAACTCACAAACACTGCTGTTGATTATTTTCTAAAGATATAGCTTGATCAGTTTACACTTTTTAATGCTGATCGTATGATAACTGTGACAAATTAAAGCATTGCTATTCATCATCGTTGACATCTTAAATGTAAATTTATATCTTAGCAAATATCAAAAGGTGCACTTTTTGAAATATTCACAAACGTATTTCAGACATTTAAATTTCAAGGAATACTTTAGGATTCTCTAGAACAGTCTAAGTTATGTCGTTAATGCAGTTTAGTGCTTTGTTCTGTTCCTAAGAAACTCTGGGAAAGGAATCAAATGCCAGTTGTCTTAGGTTGCTAATGTCTGTAATGGGGAGGAGAGCCGTAAAACTTCGACTTAAAACTTACACTCACTATGTTCTTCAGAAAACATACATGAGTTTCACAAAATGAATGTGTAATTGAGTACTTTTTAATCATATGTTATTCATGCAACTCTAGATGAGATATATGTCATAATACAATAGAGGAGTCAACATTCGTTGAAAGAGATACTTGTCCTAAAGTATTGATTTATTTGTTAAGACTAGAATAGTTTCAGTTCTGGTGCAGTGATCTCATATCAAACCGCTACTAGAATTGGAATCAAAGTCAAACTAAACTTGTTTTCATTCATCTCTAGTCATGTTATAGCAACTCCTTTTTTTTTGTTTAATTCTCGTATATAAAAAGAATGGAACGATAAACTTATTTTATGAATCATTTTTCACAACTCTTTTCAATTCATTATTCATTGACTAAGAAACATCGAAATCATAGTGTTAGACATAAGTTATCATGCATCTGTAATGAATGTTCTTAGGAACTTTATAGCAACAAGGATTTTTCTATTGATCTCGTCCTTCAAACAATACTGAAACTATTTTGTCAATAAAAAAAATTGAAGGACAAAAAATTGTATTTATTATTTTGATCAGTATATTGTAGACGATAAGAAATCGGTCATAAATTGTTAGATTTTTATGGTAGGTAAATATTAGCATTGACAATACAGCTATACATATATCTTGTTCCTTTCGATAGATATTTCATGAGTAAATTTAATATCGAACATATTGTTTCCTTGAAAGATGTCATTTAAAATTCCATACTTTTTCAATGTTAGACAAAGAAATCAAGACTTGTAATAGAATATATAGGAATATAATTTAGCTGTACAAAAGAACAATATTGAATTACAATTTTGACCATGCTTAATAACATATTTGATATTTTCATTATAGAAATTTTAATAGAATTTCTAATAATCTGATGAAAGTCGAAAATCTCGTTTCTTCTCATAAAAGAAAAACATTGAGACAAATGGATATGAATTATGACAATGAAAGCAAAGATTTCTGATGTAATCTTTCAATGGCTTCAAATGACTTTTATGACGCTTCATTCATTAAATCATTGTTAGTATTCATTTTAAAGTATTCAACAAAAAACAAAAGACAAACATGCTTTGCTTTTCTTTTTCGAAATATGTATTTCTCAATAAAAATAGATTTAGGACAAGGTAAAGAACGTCATGAAATAATTTAAATGATACTTTTCCGAATAAAGAATAAATGAATAATTGATATGAAAGGAAAAAAATAATTAAAAAATCATAATATGGCGATACCCCGATGTTGGTTTTGTCTTTCACTATAAAATAAGCAGTTAAATTATTTATATTAAACTGCAATAGGAGGTTGTTGCTGTTGTTGTTGGTATTGAGTTTGAAACAATTCATGTTGTGGTTGATAAAATTTATGACCTGTTGGTTCCATATGATCAAGTACAAAATTACTTCTTGGTGTACTACATTCATAGAAAAACATCAATATTAAAGAATTATTAAAAGAAAAGAAAAACAAAGAGATTTACTCAAGAAGAGCAGCTGGACATGGTTGAATTTCTTTCGGTGTATATTCTGTTCTATACATAGTCGCATCATCAAATGGAACTGTTGATCTATAAGCAGCATTGTCAGGTTTAAATGATCGTTGTGGCCCAGAATCATGTGGAATATAATGACCTAAGAAAAAAAACTCAAATAGCAAATAAAATTAAAAATTTTTGTTTTACCTTTATATGTTGATAATCCTTCGAATGGCATACTCGGAGGTTCATAACCAGCTTGTGAACGTATAGCTGGTGGTCGTCCTCCAGGCCATTTTCTATAATCACCTAAATAAGTTGTATTTCCATCAAATTTTGCATCATTTCCACGTCTTTCAATTGGTTTAATAGCAGCTACTTTTGATAATGGCTTTGGTGTAAATTCTGAATTATACATTGTATTTAAATCCATTTCAGCAGGATTTGCATGATATTCATCGGGTCTATGTGTTTGTATTGGTTGTACTTCCCAAGGTTTATAATCTGTTTTATTTGTTGTTGCATCATCAAAAGGAGCATTTGATCGATAACCTTGCATATCGGGTTTCATTGAGCGTGTTCGATCAGCTAAAAAAAATAAAAATAAAAATATTTTTCTAATGATTGTGTTTTTTATGTACTGTCTTTTGGTGTAAAATCTCTTCGATGTGTCGTTAATGAATCTAAAGCTACTTGATTTGGAATATATTGTTCTTTTGCACGTTGAAAACGTTCTTGTTGTGGATGAGGAATATAATCTGTACGATAACCAGTACGATCATCAAATGGATCTTTCGATTGTAAAACTGATTGATCAGGTCGAATAGGTTGACGCATTGCTGCTTGATGTTTTAAATAATCAGTTGAATATGTACTTTCACCACGAAATGGATCCGATGGTGGAAACTTCAATGAAGAAACAGAAAGATTAGAAAATTTTTTGTTTTTGTTTCTAATTAATCTTACATATCCAGCATCATGTCGAATTGGTTCAGTTCGACCTGTTTCCCATTTACGATAATCAGCTATAGAAAGAATAATAATAAATAATAACATAATTAGATAGGATTTAGATATACTTCGATATGTTGGATCTCCTTCAAATGGAGCTGAGATTCTTGGTTGACCATCATGTTTAATCGGTCTAGCTCGTTCACCATCTTTGGCTAAATTAATATAAAATATAATTAAAGAAATAATATTATATATTTCTTTATCTTACGTGTATATTCCTTATTATAACTAGTTAAAGAATCAAATTCTCCACGAGGAGTATAAACTTCTTCCGGCTTATATGAACGTTGTTTATCAAGAGCATATCTTATATAATCATGTCTAAATAATTTATTTGTTATTAGCTTTCTATTCAATTATTCAATTACTTATGTGTTGTTTCATCATCTAAAGGTGCTGTACTTGTCTGTAATTTATAATCAGGTTTGTATGATTCTCGTACACCACCTTCGCGAGGAATAAATTCCGAACGATATTCAGTTACTGCACATGGTTGATCGCCTTTACCAATAATACCATAAGGACGATGTGGACAACGATGTTTCCTAAATAGAATATGCAACAGCTGGTATTTTTATTTGAAGAAAAAAAACATCATGAAATATATGATATAGTTTCGAATATTGTTTATACTCCTTAGTTAACGTTTGATTTTATTTTCTCTCGGTTATATTATGGCAAGATATAAACTTACCCGCATGTGCAAATTTGACAGATACATAATTTAGTCATTGTTATTAATTATTTATGAGAATTTAATTGTATATTAACCGGAACAATGACGATAAAAAAAAAGAAATAATGGCAACACAAATAAAAATAATCGTTCCTTTTTCTATTCTAATAAATAGACATCTAAAAAGAAAATGAAGAACTAGAAAAAAGAAATAACATTCTTAATATGTTCGTGATCGATTTTAAATGAATAGATGTATTTTGTTTGTGTTACAACTGCGACAACCACAGAATGACAAATACTAAGAGGATTTAAATTTCTCCTATGTTGTTGTGAACAATTGATGGCAACTAGAAAAATATTCAATAAATCGTTCGTTGCATGGCAATGGACATGAAACGAGATTATTAGCATTAATGTGAAGCTAATCAGATTTTATTTTAAAATGAAGATTGTAGATAAATGAACTTATTTTAATCATTCTCTTTTTGTAAAAATTTATCTTATTATTTTATTAATTGTTAATGCACGCCATCTGTCAGTAATGTTAAGGTAGTTAACCTTGTTATGTATGTGAATTTACTCAATAGGTATCGCTTTTTTCTCATATTTTCTCCCTACTTATAAAACGAAGATTTGCATTTTGTTAATGACAGTATATCGTTATCTTTCAGTTGTTTAAAAAACCAAGCTATTCTTTGAAAAAGAATTGAAAAAAGAAAAAGATAAAACATGATTCAATATTTAAAGAATGAAAAAGACATAGTTTAGATGATTCTCTTTTTAAACTCAAGTAGTAGAACAAAAAATAAAAAAGTTTATGTCTACAGAACTATGTGAACTTTTTCCAATGTTATTGTGTATCGATCAATAATTCTGTTGTTTCTTGAAAAACAAGATATTATCTAAATCACTGCCTGAGATGTTCACAGAACAGGATTACACAGTCCTTTCCTGAAGTAGGGCAGGATGCAAAATAGAATGGGGTTAGATCTTTATAGCCTGCAAATCTCAACACCAAATTGTCAAATTTTCATCTTGAAAACGAACGTTTTGTTTTTGAGTGTCAAAAATCGAAAAATAGACTGCAGAGGACCATATCAACTGACATGCAGAGTTTCCATCTATAGGTATAAATTCGAATGAATGAAGATGGTAGAAAAAAAATAAATATAATGATCGTTGAAAAATTGTATTTTTATTTCTGATTCTTGTTCGTTTACCACATTGACGCAAAAGATTAACTTACAAGTTCTATACCATTTGGTTCATATGATAATTTTGCAGCATTGGGCACATTTTATTTTCTACTACTTTTTGGACAACAGGGCAGGACATGAAAATGTCATCCTGTGAACGTATTTTGGTTATTACCAATAATATTCAATGAAACCTGAGAAAAATACTAAAAATTAATTCTTTTTTTTTTGTTCTCTTCTTATTTTTAAAACATTGAAAAAGTAATGAGATTCTTGACTTCCTGCCGGTTTTTTTTTGTAATACTTGTCAATGTATAACATTTATGTTTTAATAAACAAAATAAAAAATGATTCGTCGAAGAAGACGAAGTTTTTTTATATTTCTATTCATTGTAATATTATTATATATATTTATTCATTATCCTTATTCAACATATTCATCGTCTCATTTAACTTTATTCGATGAAATTCATCATGAAGATAATTTGTATGTAACACCAAAATATTGCTTTACAAAAACAGAAAAGAAAAATATTCGTCGAGCAATAATCGTTCATTTTCCTGTTGAACGTTCATCAGTATATATATCAGAATTAAAATGGTTATATCTTTCATGGATTGAAACAATTCAAAATCAATCTATTGATTGGCAAACTGATTTAATTATCTATTCTTTACCTTCATCATTATTAGATGAATTAGGTTGTTATGAATATAATAATAAATTGTCAAAAAATAATTGTTTTAGAATTGATTATAAATCTTTATGGGATAAAACAAAAAATAATAGTCAACTATTAAGATTAATTCAAATTCATGTACCAACATGGTGTCGTCATCTTGATTCATTAGGAATTTTACTTGAGAATTCTGATTTTTTAAATCAATATGATTACGTTTTACGAACAGATTTAGATGTTTTTTTAGCACCACATTTTGCTCATTATATTCCATTTGATTGTTCATTTCAAATAGGTTAATTTTCTTGATATATTTTTTTTCTTGAATACTTTCTATTTATTTTTGAACTTATATATAGGTCTTGGTGGTTATAGTCTTGATTATACATTAAATAAACTTTCTCGTATCGCTCAAACATTGAATTTATTAGATGTTAACTTAACACATATTGGATCAACATGGTTAGAAAAAAAAAAAAACTTTTTTCTTCTAATTTTCATCGTTTATGTTAATTTTAAGGTATGGACCGCCAAAACAAATTGTTTTAGTTGGACGTTTAGCTCTTTGGTTAAGTGTATGGTTATGTCAAAATGAATTTACTTTAGTTGAAAAAGATCAAAGATTATCGATTCTGTCTTGGCCACAATGGTATATTGGAGTAAGTTAAATCAATTTAATGATTTTGTTTTGGATAATTTAAAATAGGTTGTATCGATGTATGCCAGTCATTTAGCCATAAATCATTATGCTGGACGAGGACAAATAAAATTAATACAAAAACCATATTTAATTGATTCTAGTTGTACAACAAATACATCTTTTAATGAAGTTGAAATTATACATATTCATGCTTGGCATGTTCGTATTGATCTTTTACTTTTTTTTCCTCATTGATAATTAATTAGATTTTCAATGTTTTAGACTAATCAAATGTTTTCGAAATTTTTTTTTAAAAATGGTTCATATGATAAAATATTAAGTGAAAGAACTCAATGGAATACAAATTATTCATTGGATTTTATACTTCGAATAGCATGGCAATCAAATCAAATGACTACAAAACAGTTGTTTTATCTCAAATCTCACATATAATCTGTGTTATTATATATACATATTGCTGAAAAATTTGACAATACATTCAGCGCGAATATTTTGTTTACATGAAAAATAAATAGAGAAATATCATTTGTATCTTGATGTTTATTCGATTATAAGAAATGATCTTTATCTCTGAGATGTTAATTTGGCTATGAGTAAGTTTCTATGAGATTAAGAAAAATTGTAAAAGCTTTGTGTTTATGATTTACTGATTATTCTTTTTTTTTTTTTATGACTCTTTGGTAATGTTCGCCTAACAAATGGCTAACATATAAAGTTACTGAGATTTCTTTTTGTTAACTTCAAATAATTTTATTCAAGCTCGGGATTCGTCTAGAAAAAATTACTGTCAATAAAAATCGAAATTCTGTGTAATAAACAAATAAGATTTCGAATTTCGCATGTGACATTGTTCTTTACTGATATTCTATTCGACAAAAATCATAGTTGACATTGATGGAGTTTTTCTTCTATCAGACTAGTCAATTGAAATTCTAGAGTTTTAAACAGTGAAAAATTAGTCCGTTTAAAATAACAATTAACGAACTAGTCCTTTCGATAAGAAAACTACAGCTCTACGAAGACATACAATGTGAAATTTATATAACTTCAGGCGTTTCTAATAGAACCAACTTCTAATTTACTATGACACGTTCCCATATACACTAATCTAGGAAAGTAGGAACACGTCCTTCAAAACTTTTGATCTAGTAACTCACGTCAACTAATAATAAACAACATGCAGGCTTTGTTTGCCTGACTTTCTTAATAGAGATATGATATCTGCTCAAGAGTTGATAAGCTTGATGTTTTTGTATTTGAAATTATTATTTAACATAATTGAAAGACTTGTCAATTCGTATAAAAATAATACTGCTGATAGAAAAACAAATTGGATTACAAAGTTCGATTTTGTATACTAAACATAATATTTTTTGGTTTCTTAATTCTTAGATTTTTTCTTAGTTACATGAGACTAGTAGTTGACATAACTTTCGCAACAGAAGGAAATCTTTTCTCATATTTTTTTTAATAAAATCATGCACTGACAATACCTAGTTAATGATAGTTTCTGGTAGTCGTTTAAAAATAGCTCACAAAAGTGAGCTTGAGATTTCGAGGTGAAAATTTTTTAGTTCAGATCAAAGTTAACTTCTGATGGCTTGATAATGTTTCATGACCAGAATAAACCTATTCAACATGATCCAACGTTCTTATGGTACGCACTACAAAAAATTTCTCTCATGTAACTTTAAAAAGTTTCTCGCGCAGATACAAACTCGAAATCCTTTTTTTTTTGTTTCGTATCAAATCCAAAAAAGGTTCTACAAAAGAAAATTTTCTTTAGAATGTATGATGAGCAAATGTGAGCTTATTATTATCTAGAGCTAGAATTTTGATGTCAATTTAGAATTTGTTACTTGGTACGTCAGTGCTTTAAAAATTAAAAAAGAAACTGGTGAAAACCGATCCGTTGGATTCTAAGTATGTGGCAGATAGTTCTTTTCATTTTTTTTTTGACGAGTACTGTAGAAGCAATCTTCTACGGTATTTGTGATCCATCTCGAATTAAGTTTACAATTATCTAGATATACTTATTTTTTAATCAAGCCTAACCAATAGATGTGTTAGTCAATATGGATATGTTTCAGAATTATTTTGTATCGAAATCGAAGATCAACTTAAAACTGCTTCTAAAAGAAAATTTTTAATTCAATTGTTGAGAAGTTTGACTTGAATTTTTTCATAGATAGTATTCTGATTGATGAAAGATAAATATTGTTTAATGTTTAATTAAAAAAGAAAATTCAAAAACTCTAATCTTAGTTCTTTTTCGTAAAATATTCTTTTATAGTTAATTAATCAATAAGTATTGCATTAGCATAATTTTCCATTAATTTTGATTTTGTTTTATTACGCAATAAACATCGTTCATTAATTAATCGTTTAGCTAATTTTTGATGTTGATTATTGTTAGAATGAACAGCTGAATGTATTAATAATAAATTAAAAAGATCACGTTGTGCATTTGATCCACCAATTTGATAAATTTTATTTCGTATTGGATAAAGAAGTTCAACAACATCAGAATAATTTTTTTCTTTAAATTGATCCATAGCTTGAAATATATACTTTCCTACTTGACGATAAACATGACCATTATCAGAATCTGATGTATCATATGCGTCTTTTAATGTACGAAGAAAATTATTTCGATCTTCTACATCTGCATAATCATCTAATATAAAATAAACATGAAGATCATTAAATATTAATGTATGATCATGTAAATGATCATTTAAAAATTTTTTTAATCGATTTGATGAATAAGTAGTTGAACATTTTTGTCCAGCAAGTTTAAGTCGATAAATAAGTGCTGCCATATCAACGAAATCTAACATAATCATTTCACCATCTTTATTTAGTATACGATTTGTTAAGATATCTTCGGTTATTTCTCTATTGCCTTGTTCCAATTCATATAAAGCCCAATGCCAATCAATATGTGGTTTAATAACATCGCAAGTTTCCCAATTTTGATTAGTTTTTTTCAAAAAATCAATTCCTTTCGATGCATCTCCAGCATATTCTACAGCATGTGCTATTGCATGAGTTGCCCAACCATCATGTTGATTTAATTCTAAACCATATAGAGCTTCTTTTTCAGCTCTTTCAATCATATTTGTTTCACCTAAACCAAATGCATACATTCCATATAAATAAGATTTTAATGGACGATCTGATGATGTTTCCCATATGGGTAAAATTCGTGCAATTGAATCACGAAGCATATTCCGATCACCAATATAAAAATATGTATCAGCTACAAATTTAATTGCCATCATATCAAATGGATAAAGAACAAGAAGCTGTTCCCATGTATCCGCTGCTTTTGCAAATTGACCAAGTGACCATTGACCAAGAGCTTGACAATGAAGATTAATGTACTTATTAGATGATGTCGTATCTCCAAGTGATGCAAGAGTTTTAGAATGAAGAGATGCCGACGGAGATACTGTTGCTACTAATTCAAGACCAGCAGCAAAAATTCGACTTGTGATACATGTTGGATCAGATGATAGAAGACGAGATAAACATGACTCAATACCACCTAATTGTTTATCATTATACCTGAACAAGAAACATAATTTGATTTGAGTTTTTAAAAATTACTTTACTTACCAACCAGTATACTGTGTAAGAGCTGCATCAAATAATTTTGCTGTTTCGTTACTAGTTGTATCTATTGGAATTCCATCATCATGTAGACATTTAACATCACGCCATTGATCACGAAAAGGCATTTTATCTGCAAATATATTTGAGATAAAATGTGGTGTATCTCACAAATGTAAAATAGAACAATGCATGTTACTTTAGATGATAAGAATCAAAAAAATATTTCTGTTCTTATAAGGTGAAGGCCACAAAAAATAAAAATATGATGTGTTTTTGTTTTTTTGTATGCTCTATATAGGTTATATCGAATACCATCGATGACAGGTTCTTTTAAGAGCCAATTGTAAAGTCGGTTAATATCGAGTAAAACAGCAATGATGATGATGATGATGATGACGTCTATTGATACAATCAATCATTAAAAACAAGTTTTTTTTTTTTTACTTTATTTTATTCAGCAGGCTCAATTGTTTTCAGAGAAATGAAAAATATATAGAAAAAGTAGAAGTATTTTTTTACAGTCAAGTCTTGTAATTCTTTTCTAATCATTTTCTCTCATTTGTTTCATTGATCGGATCGAGAAGAAAACAAATAAAATATTTATTTTTATTATATGAAGTTTCCAACTACTATTGTCGGATTTATATTAAAATACCAGTCATCATTTTTTGAATAACTTTCAATCGTTTATAGTTATGGAGGTCAGACTTTTGCCATTAGATAGAACAATGTTGGAGACGTCTATCTGTGAAAGATTCATCAGGCTCAAAGAAGTTCTTCATGAATATTTTCAGATAAATATTTTTTTCGTTGCTCATTTCTACAACTTCTCGTAGCAATCTAGGTTCAAATTACGTCAGATGCAGTTCGAAGAGTGTTGTACTTTCTCTGAAATTCTCCGATATGTTTATCTTTACCCTATGTTCATGATTCAGGAGAAATTTTCTGAGATCTAGGCATTTTATGGGAAATATGACTGCCTTTGGGCCGTATTTTGATGTAATATAAGCCTAGTTTACTACAGAAATTTGTAGAAATGAGCTATAACAGAAATATCCACCTACAAATATCCATGAAGAATTTCTTCAAATCAAATGGCTATTGTAATGATAGGCGTCTTCAATGTTGCTCTATCTAGTGGCGAAAACTCGACCTCGACAGCTATGAATGATTGTTGGCATTTAAACAAGTAAATAGAATCACTTTTAGTTTTTTTTTCGAAGTAAAAGTACATTGGATGAATAAGATAAAAATCTTTCAATAAACAGAAACATTTGTTTTCTCGAATCGCACACATCCATTTCAGGATCATTTATCTACTGTAACTGCTACCCGTAATAAAATCACATAGATCACATCGTTATTTTACTAAGTCCTATGCAAATATCAATATAACGCAAACATACAATAGTCGTCTTTATTTTCTCATAAAATGCTGATACGTTAGACGCCAAATATAAAAACAGAAGAAGAAACATCGATGAAAATGATGACAATATATGAAGGCACTATTTCTGTATACGAAAGGGAAAAAAATGGAAAAATGTAATACCAACGGTTCGTTTTCCACATCAGCATAAAGCACTAGAAAAACAAAATGTATAAATCAAAGAGTT